AATGTAAATCTTATAGATGCCAGTTTAATGTCCTTACTCCCTGCGGATGTTTCTGTTTGTCAAGAAAAGTATTTTTGCAGCACATAAACTCTTTCCAGCCTTAAGCCCCTTGTGAGACATGTATTTTTTATAGATCACTTTTTACTTCCAGTCTTGAATCCAAACGGGGCTTGCATCAAACATTTCCTTTTTAGCCTGCCACAAACTCTATTTACTTGAACAGCCAACATTAATCTTAGAATCCAGAAGTATAAATTGGGACTAAACAATTTTGAAAAAAGAAAAAATATGGCAATTTATAAGACAAATATTTGCAGTATCAGACAAAATATTATCTAAACATGGGTCTAAACAACAGGGTTTTATAAAAATGAGAGACATATATCATAATGACCCCCAAATGACTGTGGTCTAATATTTGCTCACAGTTGGTCCTTCTGTAGATCAAATATAAGGTTTTCTGTTTACTCCATTAAAGCAAATCTTTGACAGAGCATCTCTCCTTCAAGTTCTTTCTGGAAAGTCTGTTACACGCAGAGCCTTATGGGACATGGCAGCATGATGTCATCTTTGTTTTTAATGAAGTTGTATGTAGGTTCAAAGAATCCACAAGAGGCGTTACCAGGGAAAGGTGACAGCAGGGAATAGCTACCTTTAAGGACATTTGTGGTTGCACAACACTCCCTGTGGTGCTGGTGTAAACTGGTTGTAAGCAAGAAGATAGTCACAGGTAATGCCAGTTCTTAATTTTGGTCTTCACTTATTAAGTATACAATATAAAACCATCATATAATTTTTGCACTGTTTTCCTTATGACCTCTTGTATATACCCGAGACATTTTTATTACTTATTTTGTATTTTATTTTTACTTATACATATCATATATATATATATATATATATATATATATATATATATATATATATATATATATATATATATATATATATATATATATATATATATATATATATAGCCTATATATAATTTGACACACTAAGTCTCTTGCTATTATTTTTGCTGCTTATTTCGAATTTACTATTACCATTTATATTTTTACTCTTTGTTATTATAATATAATGTGATGTGTAAGCTACTGTGTCCAAATAATTTCCCTTCTGGATCAATAAAGAGTTATACTGTACATTGCTATAGTCATTACTGTGTTTACACATAAATAAGTTTGAGTTTCTAGAGCTTGGATTTATTATTAAGATAGGTTTTATTGTTGTTTTACAATTTTTCAACAAGCCAGACAATGACCATAAATAGAATTATAAGCTTTCTCATGCTCATCTACATCTTATGTTATAGCATAAAATTGCCACAGAAGAACAGCAGGGCCTGTTCGATCTGCTGGGACTCAAATTAAATATACTTTCCCTACAGATCAATAACCCTCTGTGAGCCAGAGATAGAGGGGAGTGTTTGGTGACATGACATTGATGGCTAGACTCCACAGGTCAACACACAGTGGACCTACAGCCTGCAAGCACAAGAGATTACTAACAATACAGTAACAATACAGTGTTATGCAGTAACAAAGTACAAATGTGCAAACTCGACTACTTTCAGGCACCAGAGAAGCCGGCTGTGCCATAATCATGCTATAGCACATAATCTGGCCTGGTAAATACTAACACAAGGCTGCAGAGGAGTGCAGCTGTAGAGCCAAATGGATTAGAGCTCACGTTCACTTGGTCAATAGTAAACAGGCAGACAAACACTTCTTTCCCCTGGGTGAGATACTTACACAGAGTGAACATGGTGCACAAGCACAGGACTTAAACAGATTCTTTTGTTTGAGTTTATAATGCAAATATACAAATAGTACACCAACCCAGTTTTACACTCCCAGTAATGACACAAATACATCTCCTTTAGGTATCTGCTCCTATACTACAGCAGGAACTGAAAATATGTGTTGCTATAGGTGGAAAATGTGCTAAACTGATAATATGGAATGGCATTATATGGGCTATTCATTGAGATAAGCAATCAAATTGAATACACACATTCATAAAAACAGTAACAATAAAGAATGATATTTATCATCTGCACATCATATCTATGAACGTTGATCCACAGCTTGAATACATCTTATTTGCACTGGTCAAAAGACTTTAGGCATGCCAGCTGCAAAATTGCAAAGGTAGACTCACAGGTAAGATAATCATTAGGTTATAAACTAATAGAATATGTAGTATTAATTATAGTTGATTATATCACATAATCAAATGTTAGGTATGACAGTAAGGGGCGAAACACCCTTTAATATTCAGATTTGGGCCAAACAAATCACAGCATTGACTTCAAACAACGCACAGACATTCATGTTAACATCCCCAGAGTTTTTCATTTATTTTGCTGATATTTTTAATGTACACAGATCTGAACTCTAGCTGGGCTACACAAACACGCACCAGTGTATTTTTCACAACATATTTGGAGTTTTGAACCACTTCAGATTTATTTGAAAAGCCAGTACTGCAGGAGGCCTTTCCAGCACACTGCTTCTATGAGTTCACAAGCAAGCTTTTCCCCTGATGTTGTTTACTTTGACAAAGTTGCCATGGGCTGGATAAACTGAAAGCCACAGAGCTTGATCATTGGTGGTGTGACTGTGATATTTGGGGTCACATACATTCCTTGGAGATTTTTCACTATTCTCTTTATCGTTCTCTCTGCACAAAAAAATAAAATAAAATCTGAAACAGAAGCAAAAAAGTAAGAACTCTGAAGTGTTATGCTTTGGAAATATTAAGACTGTAGACAAAGACTACAATTGCATGGGAGATAGAGTTCATGGAGAAACATGCATTTAGACTAGGATGAAATTATGTACTTAAATGTAAATGGAAGATTAAATCTTTAGCTCTCTCAAATCTTCAGCTAACTTTCAGCATCAACTGATCAACACTTAACTAACTAAAACATTAAGCAATCATTCCTCCTGCCAAATAGCCATTGAAACTCAGGAAGACAGAGGTGGGGTCTGGGTATGTTGTATAAAGTATAGGAAAATCGTAAAGTCATGGTTAGCCAGGCTAGAGCACAGGTGCATCGATTTCCATTCTTCCCTTTGGCGCAAGGTCTATTCACAGAATGTGACTGGTTCCCTCATGGCGAAAAGACTGTCAATACACCTTAAGAAGAAATATTGTGGTTGTAAGAAGGAAGCTGATGTCTCCTCTCTTACTGGCAACTCTAACATCATCTCTTCACCAAAAAAAAAATAAAAAAATAAAAAATCATTCCTCCTCTCATATCCAAACGAAGTCTGTCCTCTTTGACCATCTTCAAAGCAACAAACATTAACTGTCCCTCTCTGAAGTACTATCACTTTAACAATATACAGTAAGGAGTTCTTCAACGCTTTTAGATGGATATGAAAAGACATACTGGCATACTGAATAGAATGTGTATAAATGGTTGAAAAGAAATCTGGCCAAAGGCGTGGGAGGATGCCAGTGTGGCTCCCTGTACAGTATGCTGAGTGGGAGCAGGGCCACAGCTGGGGTCTTGGCTTTCTCTCTGAACACATCTTCAAGCTCTTCAGGCTTATGCTCTCTTGTTACTATAAAATATCTTATCGTGAAGTATTTTTTTCAAATGACTCTGTGCATATGTCTTTGCCTGCAATTCTTTGTTGTTACCCTTTTGTTCCAAGCCCCCCAATTTCATTTTTCTCATTGTCTCTACAATGACTGAGATTGGCTCTGTTGAAGCCCTTGAAGGCAAACAAAGTGACAAGGCCATTAGGAAGACTCATTTGTGCACTGAATTACTCCTGATTAGGGCCATGAACCCCAGCCCTTCCAACATTTCAGCAGTGTATGCACATTTAATTTTTGACACTTGCATCAATGGAAATTAATGATCTTGCTATACAAAACATCTAGCTACACAAGTATTATCTACTTGTGCAAAAGAAAAAGCTTGTAGTTATGGTAAGATGAAAAAATAGACAATGTCATATGGTTAAAAAGGTAATAATATCAATCATCTTTGAGACTTTAATACATATTAATAATGCAATGTGAAGCTTGATTTTCGTTGTAGCAATTTGTTGCCCCCTGCAGGAAGAGCAGTATAAGCATCCTGCAATTTTAGCCAATCGTTCATTGACCATTTGCTCAGATGCAGTCCTACATTGCCATCATGTGGTAAAAAATATATATATCTTCCAGAATGATAGTCTCTACACATCATTATACCTGAGTATGTGCCATACAATACTTACAGTTTAAATAACCTAATTGGAAGTAATTGTATGGCATTTAGGGGATGAGTGGATAATTTTAGGGCCAAATCGTGGGTAAGTTAAATTAAAATTCTACTTAATCTCCACTGCACTATTTCATGGTAAACTGGTGTGTCCTTTGCAAATCTTCATCTGTGAATTAAGATGAGGTTTTATTAAAAAAAAGAAAAAAAGAAAAAAAAAAAAGCAATTTAGGCGATAGGAAAAATCATGATATTGAGCCTATTTTAGTTTAGACTGGCAACGAAGAAGAACCCCATCTTCATCTGTTTATTAAATTACACCATTTGCAGTAAAACATGCAGTTCTCTAGGCACTGCTGAGGGTTTATACAGAATTGCAGTGACATTTGTTGAGATCAGTTAAATGAAGAAGAATGTCAAGGCAATGCAAACTTGGTATAGTCCCTTAGGCTTAAAGACTATCGTGCTGCTTGTATGAGCATTAAATAACAACAACATTAACAACAATAATATTGAGTTACCAGAAATGATTGCATTGGCTTCATTTATAATTGTGATAATATATAGCCCACACCAACATCCAGAATAGTCTAAGTGACGCACAATGTAGTAATTTCACTGAAGAAAAAAACAACAACAATACTTTAGTAGGCTATTGCATTAAAAGTTGTGCTGTACATATGATAAAATGCACCTGACTACAGCCGGGGCTGTATGCAGCCTAACCACTCTAAACGCCTGTAGGTGGGAGCGGTGTAGCCTCGTCCATGCCCAGCTGGAGCCGGGTTTAAGGAAGCGTCTGTCCGCCTGCAGTCTGCTGTTGGTGCGTCTACGGAGAGAGCTAGAGGCGCGGTGTGAGCAGACAAGAAAACCCAAACATCACGACGGCCGCGCCAAACACACGGACCACCATAAATATGAGCGTAAATCATCGCATCTGTCGTTTTGTGTTGTAAGCAGGTAGGAGAAACTGTGAAATCTTATTTCTAGATGTGACTAAAAGCTTGGGCTAAGGCTACAAATCGGGTTCAATACAAAGGCTCACAGTGGCAGAGAAAATGCCGGGCTGCAGCAGCCTGCAGGCCCGCCTCTGTCTTTCAAGTCACCGATACTCGCTTATGCCCCCGATGTTTACTTCATATAAGCCCTCTTGCCATTAAATCAACACAATTCTTTTATTTCAAGTTTTAAGGGACATTTAAGGGGCGCTTCTATTGGTTAGTGGGCTTATACCGATGTTTTTTGACTTCCATGGTGGCCGGTAGTTGGTTGCTTCTGCGGAGTCTCCTAGTGATGCATGCCGGGCTTCAGTGCAGTCCATGCCGCATGACGAACGAGGGAGACCGCCAGGGTGCACCACGTAGCCATGTGCTGCTTTAGCACAATGGAAGCAAAACACGCAAATCATGAACGCGATTGGTAGCCCTAGACATTGATAAAGCTATACATGTAACAAAACTTTCTTTACCTTAAGACTTAGATCCATAATTTATGTCAAAGTTGTTTCTTCGCTGCTAACTTTGGCATTTTAGCTTTTGGTTTCTTGAAGACATGGCCGTCGTTTTTCCCCCTTACGTTTACTTTACATTTAATGTTAAGTTAGGCTGCTCATCTCAGTCTCATCTCTTTACATCTGTGAGCTAATACTCGTGTTAAACCGAGCTTTGGTGAATGCGACTGATGCGTTTAGCAAGCCTGCCAACAGCGTTATGTAGCTTTATCTTCTTCGGCGTAGCATTATTTCAATTACCAAGTTGCTTTTTTTAGTTGCGCATACTGAAACCTCTTATTGTTAATGTATATACATAGAATTTTAAGTAAATTTTAGGGACTTTGGATGTATTAGTGTTCAATACAATATGGCAGAACAGAGACAGTAATTCAGCATTTCTTGGTGACTGATTATTACTTGTGTGTTTCTTCCCCAGATTCAACCATGTGATTGTGAATGGAGGTCACAACTCTGATCCACCTTCACTAGAATGTACCTAATGAACGCACCTCCTGTTGCAGTGACGCGCACAGAGTGGAGAACATGTGGCACACCAGGAGGCTATAGCCTTCCACTTTGCCTCAATGACTCGGACAGTGACTTGTCCACCAGAGGCACACCTATCTCAGACAAAGTCCAAATGATCATTGAGAGCCTACGGAGCACTCAGTCCTCAGTTGAGATGGGAGATGAAAAAGAAGGGAAAGTGCTATCAGGACAAGATGGACATCCTCAAGTCTGTAAGGTAGCAATGGGGTCTTTTGTTGGAGCCAACTCCAAAGCCCAAGGCCCCATTGTTAACCAGCTCAAGAGTCCTACAATCTGTAACAATAGCCATGATTCAGACAGTGATGATTCTGTGGACAGAGGAATTGAAGAGGCTATACTTGAATATCTAAAAGAAAAGGATGGTCCTAAACAAAAGAGTGAAACATGTTCAGAGGATTTCCAGCCTTCAAAGATTCCGAGAAGTCCTTCTCCTATTCCTGGCATATCCCGTCTTAATTCTGAAAGCTGTTCATTTTTTACTTCAAGCAAAGATTTACCAAAAAATATAATAACAGAAAAGCTGATTACACCTACCACATATCCGATTAAAAAATACATCAAACACAAGGCTTCAGTTATTGAAGGCTCATTCACAAAGCAAGAATCCAGCAAACCTCCAAGCAGGTCAGATGTACCAATAGATCAGACTAACCACCCATCTAAATATTTAAGTGATCTTATCAAGTTGAGCGCAAATCCAAAAGAGGATTCTGACTCCAGCAGTGATGATGGGATTGAAGAGGCTATTCAGAAGTTTCAAATGGAGAAGAATCTGCTAAACAAAACAGAGACTCAAAACACACATACATTAAGTGAGGACTCTGATTCAACTAGTGATGATGGCATTGAAGAAGCTATTCGCCGCTATCAGCTCGAGCAACTCAAGAAGAAAAGCATCCTTAAACCCTTGTTCAACAAAGCTAAAAAAACTGTCAACAAATTCACAACAAAGGAACACCATGGACCTAACACAGGAATCACAAAGAAACACAAGCTGAAAAAGAAAAGGAATAAAATGAAGAAGGAAGTGTTATCTGGCATGTCAAGCAATACACTTTTAGACAGCATTAAAGGAAATGTACCGCACTCCTTTAAAATTGAAGCTTTGAAGGGTCAATCCACTCATCCAAAGACTAATACAACAGCAGAACTTATGTGTGCTGAGGCAATACTAGACATTTCTAAAACTGTCATGCCTGGAGCCTTTCAACAGGCTCCTGGTTTCAGCAACACTTCTTCACTTGATGCTTGTGCACAGACTTCACCTCCTCACATTAAACTAGAGGATGAAAGTGATGACAGTTCTATTGACAGTGAAGATGGCATTGAGCAAGAAATAAGGAGATTTCTTGAGCAAAAAGCACAAATGCAGAAACAGACAGTGGGCTCTGCTGTGGCTCCTACACCTAGTGATGAAAATGAAGAGGCTGTAAAAACAAAAAGTTCAAAGAAACCTGGAAGGCTGTCTTTAACAAAAAAAAGGAAACAAAAAACTGAAAAACTTAACTTTTGCACTATGTCAGCTTTGAGTAATGTCAAAGGCACAATATCTTTAGCAGACAGCAATGATGAATCTACACCCCCAGCAAGTCCAATATCAAAACAACAAAGGAAAGAGCAAAGTGGAGACAAAAGCAGCTCACTTGACAGTGATGAGGACCTTGACCTGGCAATAAAAGATCTTCTCAAAACCAAAAAGAAATTAAAGAAAAAGACAAGAGACTTAAAGCGTAAACCAGAGAAATGCATTAAAAAGGAAATGCAAGGATCTGTTTCTCTGTCTAAAAAGTCAAAACCTGATCCACTCAAACAAAGTATTCTCAGACAGTCAGAAAAGACAAATTATGAACTGAGTTATTCTACATTGCCCAAGGACAATATTTCAGAAAAGACATGCAACACTAGTCAAGAATCTAACATGAAATCAGAAAGTGAATCTTATAAAGGAACTGATTTGACCTTCTCACCACTGTCTAAACCTATGAAAGATGAAGACAGTTCTGTGGACAGTGACGACAGCATCGAGTTAGAGATTAGGAAGTTTCTCGCAGAAAAGGCCAAGGTTGCAACATCAGAACACCATAAAAACCAGACTGTATCAACAAATGGTATTTCTCCAGTTTGTGCTGAAAATAAAACAGAGGATGTTAAACAGGAAAATCAGCGGGCTGAAATTCCAAGTAAAAACATTCTTCTACCAGGACAGTTGACTGAATATAGACCTGTTACTGAAAACATACTGCCTAAAGAAAAAGTGCTACTTTTGTCTCCCAAGCATTTAGCCCTAAAACACTCTCCTGCAGGTGCACAGGCCCTCTCCTCCAGCCCAACCTGCAGCCAGAGTTTGTTAGAGCCTGCCGATGGTGCCGGAGCTGCTGCAAATGCAACAAGAACTCAAAAAATTGGTAGTGGAAACATCCAAGGTGCAAGTCTGTCAAAAGAAGGACAATCAGTTTTAAATCCTAATCTCACTGCTTCTCAATCTGCATCCATAAAATGGCGTCAAAGCCTGGGATTACCTATTACTGATGCAAAAATACGAACTCCATTCCAGGTTACTTCATCCAAAATGAGTGATACATCTTTGACAACAAGGCCATATCAAACTGTTCAGAATTTCAAAGTACAAAATCCAGTTTGGTCCTCTGCAAAGACGATCACTGCATCTTTTTCTCGCAGTAATGAGATGGGGTTTCACCGCCATGCTTTGAGCTTTTTATCATCTGCTAGACAGCATCCAGGGCCCTTTACACAAGCACTTGCTTCTGGTCGCAGTTCACAATTCCCTATTGAGGAAGAGACTAAGAGCATGGTGCATATATCTAAAGACAAAAGTGTATATGTAGAACTTGAAACAAATAGAACAAACCATGTTCAAGTCCGAAGCAGGGACAGAAGTGAGGGCAAGGAATGTCAAGATGTGCTAACTGCTAATACTAGAGAAAGAAAGAGTGGAAAGATGGAGGAAAAAGAAGTATGTCCGAATATTAAAGAGGAAAACTTTATAGATGAGGCAGATTATGAGTCAGGAAACGAGAGCAATCAAGAGAAGAAACAGGGCCTTTCCACATTGTAAGTATAGCCATGTATGTGGTTGATGTTTTTACCCATTTATTAAACAGTTTTGTTACCTGTTCATAGGTGTTACTAACAGTTAGGAATGTCTATTGAAACATCATCGTAAATTTTCAGTGAACATTTTAAACTTTTCATATGTGAACAATTTAAGCCAATCTCAAAATTACTCCTATTTTTCATTATTGAGCAATAACAGCAACAGGTTAGAAATATTTTTGTAAAGAATTAAAGGCCACTCTCCAAATAACATGAAGCCTAACCTGCTTGCATTCAAAATAAAACATCTTCAGTGACTTTACCTTCAGAGTGCCCTCAGTTCTCTGAATAATTTGAATTATCCTGTCTAAAAATATGCCACTATTACAATTTATTACCTCAACTGTTTTAATACCCACAGATTTAATTCAGCTCAGTTTCAGTTTGCAGTTAATCTGAAATTGTCATGTAAACTGTTTTTTGAAATTCATATGTAAAAGATATTTATTTTTGTTTATAAAACTCTTACTGAACATGCTGTGCATTTTGTAAATATTTTGTAAGTGTTTTTGTGTTTGTTCCTTATTTTACTTTTTCATATAAAAAAAAATATCTTGCATCTGCGTAATAAAGAGTGTATAATAAAGATCTGTTTGGTTATGAATGTCTGTCTTAATATTTTATATGGAAGTGGACTGATGATGTTGCTTGCTCTGCTTGCTCAGGTCTTTATCAAGTGCCATTGACCCTGGCTTCACATTCAAACCCTGCATAGCTCTTACAACTGAAGAGCGAAGTGAGAGATTCAGCAGGAGGTGTATGGATAACAAATGCAGGAAGGTACATTCATGTAGTGTCTAGGCTTTAGTTTTATTTGTGAAAATGCACTTAACATAACAGAAAAAAGGTTATGATGTGCAAACTACTATCACTAGGGAATAATTTCTTGGAGAAGTGGGAATTTACAACAGTCAATTCAGCATGTTAAGAGAAAGCTTCAGTTTGTTCCTGTACTGAGGTAGGCCAATACCAAATGACACATTAATATGTATATGTGATTTAAATGAGTGGATTTTTTTTCAGGAGAAAGGAAGCAACAAGTCTGCAAATATAAAGAGGTTTATGGACCAAAATGGCTTGTATTCTGTTCAAACATTGTTGGTGAAGTTCAGTTTGTTTAGCCAGTTCATTCATTGTATGTTTTTGATTCCCACTGCATGCGTATTTTCCAGTAATAAGTTTTAACTTTCAATTAAAATCCGTTATTGTGGGTGACGAGGTGGCTTTCTTTAATCAGTACCTCATATTGTTAACGAAATTTCTTTTTGAGACAAAACATGAATAAAGCTGAAAACCATGATTGCATGATCCATACTGAAAACACTAGTTTCTCCAAGAGCCGTTCTACTACAGTCACGACAGAACTGCTGTTTGACGGCACGGGTAATACAAGGCTCCTACTGCGCATGCGTACAGTTGCTGACCTTCCGCACTATCAAACAGCATGGCAGCTCGGGCACTAATGAGAGGTAAAATATGTGTTTCATATCTTAACCAAAACTTTAGAAATACTGCCATGGACTGACTAATGTATGTACTGTATATTAGGCCTTTGCAGGTCAGGTTTGTTATGTGGGAACCAGCGTTATTCAACACCAGCGGTTATAAAAACACTACCACCTACACATGACGACGTAACGGGTTAGTTAAATCGCATTAGTTTGTAAGCACAGTCACATTGACAGTTGTCATTTAACAGTTTTGTATATCTTTGTTTACAGATAAGGTCATAAACCTACCCCTTGATAAGCCAGATTTCTTCCGTGTATCAGAACTCTTCTCACTAAAAGACTTGTTCGATGCAAGAGTACATCTCGGCCACAAGAAAGGATGCCGACACAGGTATTGTCTAACTTGGTTTGTACATGAAAAGAGGGGGGAAAAAAACCCAAAACACCAGTTACATCAGTTATAGGAAAACCATGTAGCCTGAGCTCTTAGCTATTACAATTACAACCGAACCTCTCAGTGTATGGACAGCATATATTGCTGAGGCTGCACTAGCACTCAGTCGGCTGCAAGGTGCTGCTGCGGTTCAGGTAGTGAAGAGTCAGATCAGAGAGAATTTAGACCAACTGTATTTCATTAATGAAACTCATGTAGGGCCTATTCTGCTTTCTGAATAGATATTATCTTGAGAACCAAAACACCATATTATAACAAACAGCTTGGCCATCATGGCCATTGTTTTTGTCATCAAGAATAAATCAGCATTACAGCTGTTACTGGTATAAGCTGTATTTGGTTTGGACATATTACATGGCTAATTAAGGCATTTATCTGAAAATATCCATAATTTCATTTATCCAAAATAAAAGTGGTGTCTTTTTTTTTTTTTTTTTTCCCCTATAAACGACTATTGTGCAATTTAGGCCCTTGTTTACAGTATGACTGATAGATAACTGGCTACATAGAGGTAATTGTTTATGTCACATCTGCTGCCCATATCCAACTAGAAAGTAAATGAAAAACTTCATAGCAAAATGAAAGATTATATATATATATATATATATATATATATATATATATATATATTACATTTATGATATTTATTTTGTTTTGTTTTTTTGCAGACTTATGGAGCCATATCTCTATGGAAGCCGTTTAGATCAAGATATTATAGATCTGGACAAGACTATGGAGCATCTTCAACAGGCCCTTAACTTTACTGCACACATTGCATACAGGGGTGGTATTATACTCTTTGTCAGTCGGAGACGCCAATTTGTCCACCTAGTAGAGAACACTGCCAAGGAGTGTGGAGAGTACGCCCATACAAGATACTGGCAAGGAGGGCTACTTACCAACGCCCCTGTCCAGTATGGGCCTGGAGTCCGCCTACCAGATCTCATGATTTTCCTCTCCACTCTTAACAATGTGTTTCAGACACATGTGGGAATCAGAGATGCAGCTAAAATGAATATTCCAACGATTGGTGTTGTGGATTCGAACTGCAATCCATCCCTGGTCACATACCCCATCCCTGGTAATGATGATACCCCAGTGGCCGTGGAAATGTACTGCCGCTTATTCAAGATGACAGTCAACCGTGCAAAAGACAAAAGACGGCAAATGGATCTTCTTCATGGCTTGATAACACCCTCCATCCAAAATTCATGACATTTATTTCTGGGTTATAAAGACAACTACAGGTCATTCTGAAACATTTTGTCCACATTGTAATCATACTGTAATGGGCCTCTTTGTTCTGTCATGTTTTTTTTTACTGGTAACTTTCATGTCCAAGTTGAATTAACTCTGCGTTTATTCTCATTTAAAGCTGTAAATTATTCAAAAGTCAATAAGAAATGTGACGTGAAGAGTCCTCAATCATGCATTGGTGATGAGTTTCTAAAATGCACACATAAAATAAATAAAGCATTGCCTTTATTTCAAATTGCTTTTCCTGATGTTAAAATAGGTCACACTAGTAGGCGCTCAAGTGTTGTATGAGGTCATTTGGGCTTTTTGACTTTCCGTAGTTTGTTGGGCTGCTGTGCCTCATGCAGCTGTCAGTTCATGTCATCAGTATCCTGCTCGCGATTTCTCTTTAAAAAAGTAGAACGGTGAGTAGCCTACACAGGGATCTATTTAAGCTTTTCTCGTCGTAGTGTTGGTTAGATCAACCAAAACTAACCCACAATGGTTATTAAGGAGATTGCCTGTAGGCCTAACTACAACTACACTGCTTGATACCATAGACCGTATAAGGCTTCTAGATTGCTACTAAATTTCTTGCGGATTCGCTGCAACAGGTTTGCTTTTACACAGCCTATACTTTTCAATAAAAGTAGACCCATACCATGAGTGAAAGTACAGGCATTTGCAACGTTATTACTGGTCTTTTAGCACAGAGAGAAGCCTACTAGAGGCCAAATTTACACCCACTCTATTTGGTATTCGGTTACACTAGGGAGAGAACTCCCCATTCCAGACGATTTACAGTGTCACGCTTAAGACTGTAGATGGCGCTATTGCGCCTAAAGTGTCAGGTGGGTAGGTCATGATCATTACTCACACTTTGGCACATTTGAGAGAAATGTTAGTTTTTACCATTTTGACTGGAATTAATGTAGAAATGTGTTTCATAATCAAGATTCAGTGATGTAGGGAAATTGTTTGTTGTTTGCAATTAAGTGTAATGAATGCCTTTCTCTTAACAGATTTACAACTTGGAGTTGATGTTCAACCATGGAGAGGCCAGCAGAGCCGTTTCCCCATTTTAAGCTGTAAGCAAGCTACTAAGAAATCTTAAACATACTCGTCATACACTATATTTGTCATATTGCCCCTAGAGACGCAGCTTTGACATTTGTGTCAATAGTTGTGCACTTTGTGGGCAGAAAGTAACTGGCTCACGATGGCCCAATCCTCGTGTTTGGTGTACTTTGGGTATGGAACCGGGCCAGATACAGATTAATTTTTAATTAAAAGCAAAACATGCAAAAAAAACCCAAAAAAAAACATGCATCTGTGTCTTAACTATTTTTTTAGAAGTTGCTGCTGGCTGTGAAGAACAACATGCAGTGTGGAAGCAAAGGTATACAATAGGCATGTGTTGGTAGGATGTGCACGTAGGACTGAGATTTATAGTGCTACCCTTTGATATTCCCTATCAGAGTGGCCATGTCTTCTCCTTGTCTTTGTCATTGTGACCAAAATGTAAAGCATATCTACTTTCATGCCTCTATTTAGTTTTCCTTTTCTTTATTACAAGGGATTTCCACTCATCATTGTTTTTGAACTTTTTGTTCTGATGTTTTATGTACTGTTTAGGGAATAATTTATTATGTATCTTTATATTACTCTGAAATGCCCCATCTATTTTGTAAAAAGCATGTTGTAACAATGCGGAAAACACTGATGGCATCTGTGTAAAATAAAGTCTTGTTTCTTTTGGAAAGTCTTGTTTTTTTAATTTATCATTAATCTATATATTGATTTTCATTTGATTAATTTTTATTTGAGCAATTGGTTATACAATGTAACCATTGAGAAAACATTTTTTAATCAAATACTATGAAAATGACAGCGCTGCTCAAAAGGAGTAAGCAGAAGCAAAATACTTAATTAATAAATCTAAACAAAATATGTCCAAATGTTATTTAGTTATTTTTTATTTATTTCTCTTCAAAATAAATTAACAAATGAATATATTATTACCTCCGCCAAGCAGGTTATGTTTTTGCCGGCGTTTGTCTGTTTGTTTGTTTGTTTGTTTGTCTGTTAGCAACATAACTCAAAAAGTTATGGACCGATTTTGATGAAATTTTCAGGATTTGTTGGAAATGTGAAAAGGAAGAACTGATTTCATTTTGGGGGTGATCCGGAAGAAATCCTGGATTCTGAATCACTTTGAAATTTTAGTTAACATTGTGGTAAATGGGGCCAAAAGTTTTGTTTCTCAATATCTCGGTTAATTATTGACCAAACCCCATGAAATTTGACTCAGGGATTGACAATGGGATCCTCTTTCATATTCCAAAGGCTGATCCGGATCTGATCCAGAAGACTGATTTTATCGAAATTTATATAAAAAATGGGGATAGTCCTTGGCGATGGTCTGCGCTCTCTGAGTGCTTTTCTAGTTAGCAATTTATTAAACCTTCCAGGCATACATATGGAATTTCTATCGGCAAATGACAAACAGCTGATAGAGCAGTCGCACTTCCCCTTTAATAAAGCGCAGCGGTGATGATGATGAGGAGGAGTAGCTGGAAACAAGAGGCTGCGCGCTCAACGGGAGACACGCGATACATACATATATATATGTGTTTTATTTCTATTTACTGCATCATAAATACATGGACCTAATTATAGTGCATTGGCGTGTTGTTCATTTTAACAATTTTGCTGTGTTAACAATAGCATAGCTCAACTCACGAAAAGAGAAATGAAACTGCGCTTTTTCAAGGACGCAAGCTTTATCCCCTCTGGAAAATTATTTCTACTGAATTACGTTTTGTAGTCATGTTTTAAGTCACAAAAAAGGAAACATGCTAAACACCGCGGTTTATAGGCGCGCTTTTGGCTGTTTGCTGCGTATGGCGCAGGTCGCTGCAAGGATGTAGCGTAAAGGTATCCCTGCTGTATGTTCACGCCGCACAGTCGCTCATTATGCCGAGGGCTTTTCGGAGACTGGTCCATTTGGTGCTCTTCTGTCCCTTGTCCAAAGGAGTTCAGGTATCATGTACAACACGACTAACGCTTTTATTAGGCCATATATTATCTGCTATATCCATGATGCACGATGTTGTCAATTGTGTCGGTGCAGCGCCTTTCTTCAGGAAATAATTTTTTGTTTTGTTTTTAAGTTTTGCAATTGCACTAACCAGTGTATTCTTTAATCATGTTGACAAGATAAAGGCAATATTTTAATTTACTTATTCCTAATACTTCGTTGCGTCCGTGATGTAGGCCTACAAAAAAATCTGCATTCATACCTCTCTTCTTATTTCATCCTCCACAGACTCGCTTTCCTGTGATCAAGGTGAAGTACCTGCTGCTGGCATGGCTGGGCGTTCTCATCACCAGCTGGGTCCTTTACATGCAGTATGCCTCTTACTCTGAACTCTGTCGTGGCCATGTCTGCCAAATGGTTATAGTGAGTATAATCTAATATAGGTCTTCCAACCCAGTTGACTATATCCCAAAACATCTTTTGTGTGTTCATTCCAAAGCATGACTCATTTCTTGTAATCAATGTGATTTAAACAGGAAGGGAAGCTTGTAGATTGGATTAACCATAAGAAATATGAATGGCCAGCAGTCTCTTTGTGATAATCAGTGTACTGTGTAACTGACTGGTTTATTTGCAGTGTGACCATTATAAAAGAGGCATCATATCTGGCTCATCTTGCAAGGCTTTGTGTGACCAAAAATCTTTGACCATGCAGCGTTGTATGTCCACAACCTCAACACATCAGGTAAAAAATAAATAAAAATGGAACGGTCAAACAGACTTTATGCTAAAAGCAAACTCATGCAATCTGAAATATTTTGTATTGGTTTAAGATCTACAGTGGACTGTGGAAGGAGAGACCTGTTATTATTAAGTGTGGTCTTGATGATCCAGTCAGTGCAGATGGGATCCCAGAGTCTGGACTGAGGCATGAGCTGAGTTTATTTGACAAACCAACACGAGGGACGTCAATGGATGAATTTAAAGACATGCTGCACACTTTTCTCAAGGTAATTAAAGAACATTTGAAAACTATATTCATGAGTTACTTTAAAGGGGCACTATATGACTTTTCTGGTGAAGGGTTCGCCACCTGCTTGTCTCTTGTGACACCACTATGCTAAAATACAGGTCAGATCTGTGGAGAGATGAGCAGCTCACATTAAACATGTTTTTCAAGGTATTTTTGAGCAATAATAATAATAATAATAATAATAAACACCAATAATTTAATAAATGCTATACAAATATGTGTAATGTAATACTGGGGAACATTCTAAGCAACATAATATTCATCTTCAAGGAGACAAGCAGGTGTTGTTCCAACCACAGGAAATTTACGCAGTACACCTTTAAATAATTACATGGTTAATTCTGTTATTCTCTTATAGACAAACCTTGGAGAGCAGCCATCTTTAAACACCTTAGTGGATCGGGTTATTACGCTGGCAGATATTAACCAGGATGGTAAAGTGTCGCTTGCAGAGGCAAAATCCATTTGGGCTCTTCTTCAAATCAATGAATTCCTCCTGATGGTGGCGCTGCAGGAGAAGGAGCACACTCCCAAGCTGCTGGGATTCTGTGGTGACCTATATGTGACTGAACGAGTGAGCCATAGTTCACTGTATCGATTAGAGGTGCCCCATTATCTGCAGTCTGTGGTTCCTGAGGCTCTGAGCTCTGGTTTGAATCACTGGCTTGCTCCAACTTGGCCACGCAGAGCACGAATTACTATTGGTTTATTAGAATTTGTAGAAGAAGTTTTTCATGGTTCATATGGAAGCTTTTTAATATGTGATGCCAGTCCTCATCACGTTGGCTATAATGTTAAGTATGATTGCAAAATGGCCAATCTGCGCAGTGTGGCTTCTGAGGCAGTGGTGCGAGGCTATCTCAAAGGACGGCACTGTGAAACCAATGCAGACTGTACTTATGGACGAGATTGTACTGCCACCTGTGACAGACTGGTGAAACAGTGTAACACCGAAGTGGTACAACCCAACCTGGCAAAGGTGTGTGTGTTGCTGCAGGACTTTCTGTTATTTGGCGCACCATCAGATGTGCGTGGAGATTTGGAAAAGCAGCTTCGGACCTGTGTGACACTTAATGGACTGGCAAGCCAAATGGAAGTTCACCACTCACTAGTTCTTAATAACTTAAAGACACTGTTGTGGAAGAAGATTTCAAACACACAGTACTCATGAGAACTTGCCAGCATAAATTACTGATAGTAATAATTATGTAGGCTAAATGTACAGTTTTAGAGAGGACTGTTGCCAATTTATTTTCTTGAATAACTGTGGATATCAGGAAGCTGTGAAACAAGATTAAAACAACAAAATATTCTCAGGACCTTGCCTATCTATAATTTTACACTCACACCACAGGTCATTGAGTTCAAAGGCTACTTTTCAGGGCAAAAGAGTAACCTATGTCTATGACCAGACATCCCTGTTTACCTGAGACAGTCCTAGTTTTGGGCCCACTGTCCCATGTCCCGGTAGATTCATTCAAAACAATTGATTTGTCCCAGTCTTACAAAATACCCATTTATTCCTTGTTTTGACCCACCAACAGTAAAGAGAGGGCTATAACTGGTCATTTGTTTAGCCAAAATACAAAAAAATAAAAAACGAACAAAAAACAACAACACAAAAACGTGCTCAATTTTACTAGATTATATACTAACTCACACGTGACTCAGGAAAGATATGTGAATAAGTCTAAATAGACTGACTACCTAATATAATTCTTAATTGCACGCTGTTTTCACAATTTATCACCAATTTCACAAAATATCACCAACCACCCAAACCCGTGAGTGCCCAGTTTTTAATTCTGAAACTCTGCTCTCTATGGCAAATAATGAAAAAAAAAAAACAAGGAATGGAAACTGTGCCCGATCTTACTTGGTTCTACAACTGTATTCTCACTCTGTGACCCTTTCAGTTAGTCCTAAATTAGTGATTTAGTTTAGACCTGGAATAGTTTAAAATACAACATGGGTCTACTATCTTTAAAGAGGATGGCTGCATACCATATTAAGTGTTCCCTGAACCTAACCCGTCACTCTGTGGGATATCTTGTGTTGGCGATATGGAGGATAAGGTATGATGTTTCCTTATTGTGTCAGAATAGCAAAAGTATTCATTTCTAAATATATGCTAGTCAATAACCCTTTTAAACTGCAATAGCATCAGCAGTCTGAGCCGAGTGAACGCTATCCAAATGGTCTGTCATCCCCTCGTCCCCATGATGGTACTTCAGGTGTTATCGGAAATGTATTTTCCATATTTACAATTAGACATGAGGAATGATATATGTATTTACAATTTAGAGTAGCCCATCATAATAAGACTCGTAATGTGAAATGTGTGCTTTGGAGATAACGAAACGAACGTTATGCCATTAACTGAAGCGAACTGAGGGGAGACGGAGGGGATTACGATGGGCTAGAAAGGTAGCATCAGATGGCGTGCACACCATAGACAGTAGCGCACACGGAGGCTGGTCTTCTGTTGCTGAGCTGCTGAACAACACAGGACACGGGACGGGGGGAGGTGGACTGCGGACACACAGCAGATTGTGGCACTGGGCGTTTCAGGGAAGTCAAAATGCTGCATGTAGCTAGACCTCATCGGTCATGACCGCACTACAGGGCAATAATGTCGAAAGGACAACGGGACTAAAAGGCAAGGTTGACATGTTACGGCCAGCTCAGCTATCGGCTAGCTATTAGCGTACTAGCTCTGGAAGAAGGAGCCACTAGCAGCAAGTAGCAAGTTTTCTCTGCTGTTTTTGATCGGCTTGCTTTACGTCCCTAGCTCAGTGATTTGCCCAGTGGTTTAGTCCAATATCGGGTATAGGTAAGTGGCTACTTTGTTCATTTATTTTTAATTACAATTCAAAGCAGCAACTAATGTTGTTTTATTTCTGCAGAGTAACGTTAGCTTGACTTGCACCCGGCATCGGATCACTGCGTTTACTACAGGATTCACTGTGCCCTGTTTGGCAGCGTCTGTCAAATCTGTGGACGTGAACAGCTGTATCATGCTCCTGTAAAGGTTCAGATCGAGCAAATGAAATCACTGGTCCAGGATGCAGAGAAGGAGGGTGTCGATTCCGAGGAGCTGGTGTCAATGCCTTCTCCTTCGGCCTCTGTCTCTCCAGACGCTCCCAGTATCACCATAACTGGACGAGATACGAACAATTTGAGCACCTGTCGAAATAGAAGCAAAAGTCGTGGGAAACCAGCTAAAGAAGACAAAAACTTAAGTGTCAAACACAATAAAGATCCACCTTTCCACAGTTCTCTTCTAGGACAAAAACAAAACAGACAAGAGAATGAGAGAACTCTTCTTATCAGAGGAACTGAGAAAGTTCTGCAGGGTAGGTCCGAGCCCAATGGCAACTATATGAACAACCCCCATTTGAAAAACATTCAGGATCACGAAAATGGAATTAAACATCCACGGAAGAAGAAACCTGTGACCGTGGACTCCTCAAAGGCCAAAACCTCACTGGAGGCTCTGAAAATCAGCATCAAGCATCTCAAATGGAAAGAGGTTAGTAATGAAATGTTTGGTCATTACAAATAGCAACATAAGGACTATTTACACCATATGAAAATATAGGGCTTTAAATGCACCAATAGGAGATTATATTTAAATTGAAGCCATCTGGAGCCACTTTATCTTATACATTCCGAATACATGAACTAATTTTATCAGGTAGTATTGCACCCAATTCCATAAATGATGACATTATTAAATAATACACAACGATATTACCATTTGCATTCTCCACAATAAATGAAGCTGTATAAAATTACTGATGAAAGTTGTTCAGGATAAAGCCCTATAAACTTGAATCATTTATGTGCAGAGCAAATCGATCTTGCTTGCCACTAACTCAACCCAGTTGAGTGGTATGCACGCATGCAATTAATACCTGTTGTCTGCTATTATTACCTGAGTCTACATTATGCATGAGGCGTAACAGAGGTCAAAGCCATGGGGTAAGTGAAGTAAACTCAAGTTATTGCCCTTGACAAAAAGAGTCTGGCACACATCTTAAAGATCTGGTAATTCATGAAAGAAACATGAGCTGACACTGGCCTTGTTTGCTCTTATGCGTAACTACAGTGTGTCTGATGTTTCTATGAAAGCAGTGGATCTGTGGGTCAACCAGTGTAACACATAGTCAACGGGTTAGCACAGTTACTGCAAGGTAATCAGGTCATGGGTTCACTGTTGGTCAGGACTGGATCAAAGATTTTAGCTTTTCTCCTATTTTAGCTTTCTTTGAGACTTTGTATGTATCATATCATGTATATTAACATCATTTAAAATGTAATATTTACTCACTGTTGGGGGTTCAAAAGAGGGTCAGCTGTCATCACACTTGTAGCACGTGTGGTTCGTACAACAGTCGGAAATGATTAGCATTAAGCTCCTGTAATCCAACAGACTCTTTACTCATTTGAGGTGTAATAGTCAATGCAGGGATATCATAAGTAACAGGTTGGAGTGCGTCTAATTTAATTCCTTCACATCTAATAACACTGTTGTATTGATTGTTGTTCAGTCAATGATTGTAATGTATTGATTAGTTTAACAATTTTGGGTAAATGCACCCATGCAAAATGTAAATAAACTAATATTTCTAAATACAGGCTGAGTAGACTCTAAATCAATTTTGTGACCTCTTGAATCAATGCAAACAATATTTATTTTACATACTCCTGTAAGCTGGTTATCAGGGCTGGTAGGATTTCCTCCTTAAAAGGCTTTAGTAGTATCTCTTCTTGATCCAGCAGCTTATCACATTGAGGTGGCACACCTGACCTTCCCGTTTTGGCCACGATTAACCCTGCCCTGTCTTGTCATTGTAAAGTACCATTGTAAACACCTGAGTCACGCTAGATGGTTGCTTGTTTCTACACAGTTTCCCATGGGACGACGAGCTGCCTGTGACATATACTGGCATGGTGTGTCTTTCCACGACAATGAACATATTGTCTCTGGGCAGGTCAACAAGTTTCCAGGTGAATCACGTTAATTGTAAATATGCATGATTTTGTGCAAAGGAATATGTTGTAAAGATTTCACAAATTATTATTCCCAATGTAATGATGTTGAATTTCTTTATTTGTCATTATATCTGAAATCATAGGAATGGTTGAGATGCTGAGGAAGATCAACATGAGCCGTGCTATGCGTACTATGCAGGAGCTGTTCCCAGAGGAGTATGACTTCTATCCCCGCTCATGGATTTTACCTGAAGAGTACCAGCAGTTCACCACACAGGTTATCACACTAGGGAAAGGCACATCCCTTTATTAAATGTATTGAGTGTAAACATAATCTATAAATTGGCTGCTAGTTTAGGTGGACCTATATTAATGATTTAATAATAATTAATATATTCATAATTATTATAATTAATAATTGGTTAAAAAAAACATCTATATAAATCTGCCAAGTTAAAGCACTTAACATTCCTGCCAAAAAGTAGATCCAAATGTCATTATGGCAAAACCCTGATATCTACTGAATCGACTGAAAGTATTGTGCACTATATGTCCAGTAGAGGGCATCACAATCTTATATTTCATATTGCAAGACATGACTCAGCCATCTGCTGTAGTCCATTAATGATTGCATCGTGTTGTATATATTATATTTGTACCAAATCATTCATACATTCCAGATTTGTGAAAGTGTTCACTGACAATGGCAATAAACATTGTCCTGATTCTGATTTTGTTATTTGAATTTGTGTAGATTCGCATGGTGAAGGAGAGCGATGCAACTGTCAACCACACCTTTATAGTTAAGCCAGATGGGGGCTCTCAGGGAGACGGTATCTACCTCATCCGTGACCCCAGTGACCTGAAGCTTGTTGCTGGGTCACAGGCCAAACAAGGTGTTGTCCAGGAGTACATTCATAAGCCATTACTCATCGACAAGCTCAAATTTGACATCCGCCTGTATGTGCTCATCAAGTCACTGGAACCACTGGAGATCTACATTGCCAAGGAAGGGCTAACACGCTTTTGCACAGAGCCTTACCAGGTAGTAGCTCTCTAATCCAAGACCTCTGCAAAATTATATCCTCCTACTTTTCTTGTACCATACTGATGTATTTATTCGCAATTTTGTAAGGAGCCAAGCCAGAAGAATCTCAGCCATGTCTTCATGCATCTGACAAATTACTCCCTCAATGTTCACAGTGGCAACTTTGTCCACTCCGACAGCCAGAGCACAGGTAGCAAGCGCACTCTTTCCAGTGTGCTGTACAGGCTCGCCGCTAAAGGAGTGGACATCAAGAAGGTGTGGTCTGACATTATCGCATTGGTCATTAAGACCGTTATTGCTGTGGTGCCTGAACTGAAGGTCTACTACCAGGCAGAAATACCTCCTGGCAAACCTGGACCTACATGCTTTCAGGTTGGTTACACTTTTAATTTTGTTTAGTTAGACCTGCACCTGCAGAAAATATAATAACTGTCTTCCAAAAATTATTAGATATTAGGATTTGATATACTCCTGATGAAGAACCTGAAACCAGTTTTGCTAGAAGTTAACTCCAATCCAAGCATGAGGATTGAGCATGAGCAAGAGGTAAGAATCAATAAAACTATGCAAAATGTAAAAAAAAAAATCACACATAATGGTCTTGTATTATGTAAAACAAAGAGACATGCCTAGAGATTGTGCAAATTGTGCAAGGTTGAGTGCCAGTTACCCTCTATAGAGCTGAATAGAAGTCACAAAACACAACAGAAGCTAGCTATTGGTTTAGTATAATTTTAACAGATTTTAACTGCTCCACTCCTCAGTGTACTTGCAGATGAGTTGTGTAGTGCGTGAGAGCAGGGAGGCAAGACTGTCACTGGTTTTCCAACTAGTGATCAGAGAAGAGTGACCTTAGTGTGAGCGTTAAGCAGGAGTCTTTCTGCATTTAGGCTCTGAGGAGCTATTCTTCTCTGATGGCTCATTTTATTTTTCATTTGTTCTGATGCGAATGACAAGTTTTCATAGAAGAGAGAGGGAGAAAGAGCAGGGGGGAAATCAAAGGGATCTGCATAAATAACATATGATATTGTGATATCATTGTGTAACCTTGGAACAAAAAAGTAATGATAATGAAATTTAATGTGTGGCTACACTATAATAAAGTCAGCACATTTCACCTGCTTGCTTTTTGTGTGGTCCAGATCACACCAGGTGTATTTGAATATGTTCCCAGTCCTGTGGATGAAGAGGTGAAAGTGAATGTGATCAGAGACACACTGCGCCTTATGGATCCCAGCCGCAAGAAACCGCCAATGTAAAAACACACACACACGTTTGAAGCTTGGACTTTCATTTTTAAGGACGCACCCGTCCCCTCTCACGGCCCATTCCCTCTCAAAGCCCATCTCCTCAGTCCTCAGCAGCTCTATAGAAGCCTGTTAAATGGTTTGTGGTGAGAACACACAGCCAACTATACATAAGTCTGATGGTTGTCTGGATGAGTAGTAGCCCAAGTGTTGCCTGCTTATAAATCCTCTCCTCTACTCTTTGAGTTTTTTGTTGGACAGTTTTTCTTCCATGACAAAAGGATTTACCATTTCCCTTCCTCCTTGCATCTCCATCTTTTCCCTTCTCTTTCATCTGTGAAATATGCTTTTGTCTCAGGAATAACATTCATATTCTGGACTTGTACTTCATATTGAATCCCTTTTCATATTCATTGGTGCACCTTTGTCCTGCTTTAATCAGCAGAACATATAATATTTGTGAATGGATACTGGCTTTCACTACTGACATTATTAGATGTTTGAATAATCTACCTTTTTAAAATCTATTTTTACAGTTAAAATATCTACCAGGCCTCGGAATTATGAATTAGGGTTGCTATTTACATTTAATCTTCCAAAGTTATCCAAATTATTTATTTCAGATTCATATTATATATATTGCCATTTTATCTTTCAAAGAAAGATTTTGTCCTTTTGTGATTATTATTTTTTTTTTTTCCCAGAAAAAAAAAAATTTACTTTATTAATTTTAGCAACATTAGTAACAACACTAATATCTTCCTGGCGGAAGAAAAGTTAATTAACATTAGTTTTCAAAATATGCATTAAATCCATATTTAGACCAAACTTATTCCAACTGAGTATACTTTGAATAGAGAGAGTGTAAGTATTTCAGACTTGGGTGATAAGTAGAAAAAAACATCTCAATAGTCTAATTACAAGGAGTGCATCTTTGTCCTGTGGGGAATGTGTGTTTGATGGATGACTCACGTTCTCCGCGGGCTCTGACTTTAGCAGTTATGAAAAGATGGCGTCAGTTCAAAATGGTGTTCAGTCACTCTGTCCTTTTCTTGTGCCACACAGCTGAACCACATTTCTTTATGAACCTGTCTCCATTCAGTGCTCACCTTTCCCTCTTCATCCTCTTCATCTCCTTCATCGTGGGTCCTGCTGCATGCGCTGTGTGCCGTGTGCATACACAGGCCTCTCTGTGTGAGGCTGTCAGCAGCTGCAGCAGACGTGCCCATCCTGTCTAAACAGATAGGGGTGATGTCCTTTTGAGCGCTCTGCTGTGGGATGACTGATTCTGTTAAACCGTCAGCAGGGCTCTCTCACACTGTTCACTCATTTATGAAGAGGGAGAGTGTTCCACAACAGGCAGCAGCACTGTAAACCTGGAAGCACCTAGAGGCACCTGCCTGTTCAGAGTAGTTGAAGATAGAGACTCACACCAAAGACATTGGGTAAAACCTTGTTAGATACATTTGGAAATTGGTTAGACCCAGTCTGAGTTAATATTTAAAGAAAAAAATAAAATAAAATAGAGGAACTTTGCAATTTGCTGCTGCTTTGATAACCATTGACATGCATATTTCATTAGTTAGTTTATGTTTATTCTGTCTTTAATAGTGATAATATGACTATATTTTATTCTGCATGAATTAGAAACGTTTTAATTTCAAATGTTTAAAATACCATTTCAAGACATGGTCAAAATTATCAGTATACATGAATAAGTTGATAAGTTCTTTTTATGCTATTGTGATAGTTGTTAAGCATTTAAAAATAGCCGTTGTTACTCTTGACTGACCAAGGGTTTGGAGAAGCCAGGGCAGGTGAGTTTTTATCCCTCACACAACATTACTCTTCACTGCCCTCTGCCAAGCCCCAAAGTAACTGCCAACTCATGGGAAAAGCATGGTGCATTCATTCAGGTTGTGCACTCTGTAAAAAATGTGACAAAAGCACATGGTGTTTTAGTTTATTGCAATGTCCTTTCAGGATGAAGCCTATAATTCAGACCTGGGAATAAACAGAATTACTGTATATGTGCAGAGGTGGTGGGCCAGTGTAATTTGAAAGTATTTGTGTATTTGTATCCAGAGCACTGTCCAGACCTGGAGGAGAAGCTTCAGAAGAGATTTCTGCAGAGCCTGAGTCCCCCGTGTCCAATCCAGAGGAAGCCCTGCCCTCTCTGTGTCTCAAACAGGTCTACCCCAAATACACCAAACAGTTCAACCATCTGCGTTTGGTGGAGCGCATTGCAGCCCTCTTCATTCGCTTCCTGGGGGTTAAAGGCAACATGCGCCTGGGCCCTACAGCCTTTAGGACCTTCATCAGGTACATACAGGGATTGTATTCACACACATCTAATACTTTTATTTGGAGTCATACCTATTTACATGCATTTCCCTTTTACACAGGACTTGCAAACTTAGCAACAGTAGTTTCACAATGGCTTCTGTGGACATTCTCTACATTGACATCACACGGCGTTGGGCAGGAGCGGTGGCAGATTCCAGAGAAGCTGGTAATGTACTGAAACATTTTTAAAACAGGTGCCTGTTGTAAAGAAAGACTAACTAAATATTTAAAGAATGAGTGCAATAGTAGCTGTAGCTAATTTTAAATTTAATAAAGTTCAGATGACATTTGATGACACTTTAATAAGTGTAAGTGCAATTTACAACAAACTATAAAAGGTTGATTTGAAGCCAGTGCCCATAGTCTGCCTCATGTTTTGCAGGCATGGGTCTGCAAGCTTTTGTAGAGGCTTTCTTCTCACTGGCTGCACGCAGGTTCAAATCTCTGGGCCAGAGGCAGCAGGTGGTAGCTCTGCTGGAGCTGTGTGAGCTGAGTGTATGTGAGGAGAGGCGCTCAGTGAGCTGCAGCCGTGCTCTGTCTGGAGGCACCAGGACTCTGGCCCACACTGCACAGCTCTCTCCTGCTCCTCTGAGGAGAGCCGTCAGCCAGGACCAGCGTCTTCACTACAGACTCAAAGCCCGTGGCCTCAGGGTCAACGCAGACAACTGAGGGACACATGATGAACAACTGAGAGGCTGCCTTACATTGTGGCCACAGAGGGGCATGATGGGAATCATGGGAAGGAGGGTTGTATCCTGACTGAGTGAACAGTGCATGGTTGTTCAGTGTTACAGGGATGAAGGAGCAGGGAATCTGATTTGAGGCCTGACCATAGTTCACTATGGCTCGTTTTACTGGGCAGCTATTGGCCTCCTTCCACTGTATGTGCACACGCATCTTCTTTGTTGTGACTGATAAACTAGCTTTACCACTGGCATTTATAAAGCACTAAGCAGTGTCGAGGATGTGTATTTTTTTGAAATTGCACTTGAGTTTTGTTTGCACAGGTTGAATGCAAGTGTGACTGGTTCATTCTGAGTGTTGTGTGTATTTATTGTTCTAGGATCTACTGGGAAAGACTCCACACAGCCAATGGCTGAGCCTTGCATCACAGCTTCTTAAGCCCATTAGCTGTGAGTTAAGTGAATAAGTATTCAAATGGAAAAGGCCACTTATCCTATTTCAGTTCAGCAGCAGTTCCAGTCAGGCAGCCTCCACCCTTAAGTGATGGATGGAAAGAGTCTTAGGAAGTAAGTTGCCATTAGCAAACTAATTACTTGAGCAGTAAAAGCATGGTGCATAATTTCTTACATAATGATCAAAGGATCAAAACTACATAGGTATTTAAAGTAAAACTAAGCTTAGTATGTACTCTTTCACTTATGCAAACACCTTTGTCAGATTACATTTTAGTAAAGCATAACCTAAACACTAATCAGAAACTAAGAATATAAATGTATTCACAAAATTATAAATAAAATAATTTTGCTCTTCAAACTGTGCTATTCTTGTCCTTATTATAAAATGCTTCTTATCTCCTATAAAAAATGTCCATAATGTTTGCATTAACATACAGTAATGTAGTCTTTGGCCTTTACAACATTGAGTAGGATACCTACTGTTCCTTCAGAACAGACTCCTTAGTGTTGAGAATAACAATCAGACAGTATGTAGGTCAGGCCTTTGGACCCAAACTTCAGCATATGTTCTCACACCCTGCCATCTAGGCCTGAGTGAGGATTTAATCAAATACACAAATTAAAGCTTAATGTACATGGCATAATAAAAGGAAAACCAGAGCAGCCAGCTAAGCTTTAAAATAGCTAAATAAAACTTTAATAGGTCTAGTTGCAAATGTACATAAATTGCACAGCCACATTTTGTCAACACAAGTTCTGTACATTATTGTTTTGTCACTGTTGCCAAAGGAAGCAGAATCCAGCAAATACTTTATACTCTCAACATACTTACAAAAGTAATTTCTACAGGATCATAGAAAACATACAACATGTGTTACTTTATTGTTCAATTTGTTGGGTTGTCGTGTGGATTTTAACTGTTGAGGAACTGTGGAGATGCCATTAACTGACGCAATAAAACATGTCAAATATTTTGCTTATGCAAAATATGGCAATTCAATGCAATTGTTTTGGGCCATTTAATAATGTCCAACAAACATTTTATTTACAAAGTCAACACCTGTATGGGGCATCAGTAGAGCTACATCTTAAACTGAGCAAGTTATTCAGACATACATTTAATAAATTTACTGTCATCATAATTCTAACTTTCAGTATGCATTATATTTGGTGAAGTATTTCATTAAAATTATTTCTTTTTACAGCAGTTCCTCAAGTACATGTTTCTTTTTAAAGTCCACAATCACAACACTGTTTATGTGCTGTGCTACAAAATTGCCGTTTGCCAACTAGTACTGAACAGAAAAGTGCATAGAGCTAGAGTCAAAGAGGATTGTGCTTGCGAATCTCACTGTAACTGAAGCCCCTTGGACCACTGAAATCTATTCTTTAAAACATGAGTATCTGACTAATCTGTTTTTGGCTAGCATAATATAGAAAGTGCCAACAGACTGAACAGGGAGGACACAGAAGGCTGACTAAATACAGTTCTACCCAATGAGAGCAGATCACTGACTGAGCTATTTATTTACAATATCCATAATGGTAACAGCAGAGGTTTAGGACAAAAACATTTACAAAAAGCTCTTGTTAACATTACATAAAAATAGTGTCAGCAATTTATTTATTTACACTTTCTCAGGCTGTCCAGTCGCTAGATACACTCTGTTAATCTTATATATATTTACTACATAAATCTGCAGCAAGCCATTTAGTTTATCACCATCGCTTTCCATCTCGCAATAAAATAAGGGTGTAATTTCACGCTGCTATTGGCTCTAAAACAATGAAGAAGCATGCAAAGCCTCACTTAAAAATAAAATAAAAATAAAATATACAAAGTATAACCGTTAGAGGGACATATAACCTCAAGGTAAGACCATGTGTGAGCATCTTCACATTCAGAACTATGGAGTCTGGCTTAAAAGGTACACCAATCAGGGCTAGCAATATGACCTGTACCTGCATCATTGGTTGTGTTAATGTTGCACAAAGATATATTCGCAACCAGGTTTAATATTTTTGATGCAACTCATCAATATTGAGTAGAGGAAGAAGATGTTAAAGTAGAGCAACAAATTTCAAAGTTGATGAAGTCATGTTTTGACAGAAGAGAAATGACAGTTCACAGTTAGTGGTGTAAGGGTCTACTCTGTAGAATTAAACCAAACATTAAAATAACCAATCATGCTAGTGGTCGTAATGTTGATGCATGATCCGTGTTCAAAGGACTCGCTAGCAGAGTCACAGTAGGTAAATGCAGAGGTGTAAGAGCCTGTTGCAGGGGTGGCTCACCAGTCCAGTGTACAGAATGAATGTCTGGATAGTTGTGGGGCTGCTGGAGCCGATTTATGTTTACCAACAACACAAAGCCCCGAGAGGTGGTTAGAATTCTGTAAAACATGTTGTACACGGTTTGTAAAGGGCTAAGTAGAATGTAGCAACACTGGTCATGTATGGATCTGCTGTCTTCTCCAACTAGTCATCGGATTGCAACAGAAAACAAAAACCTAGCACCTCACTTCGAACAAAAAGGAGCCATTTTACATCTGACATTATCAAATATAGCTATATGAATGTATAATCTATAGAAGAAAATGCATACATCTATATTAAAAGTTTTTTTTATAGCGTTATCACATAGATTTTAGTATACATTAGGTGTGTACAACCAATTTTTACAAATCCACAGTATAAGTTGTGCCTTTTTTGCAGAAGTAGAACGGGATTGTAGGTAAAGAGTGGTGTGTTTTAAGGCGTTTCATGTACCAATAGCTTTTCTTCACAAAGTGCACTAGATAGGGACGGAGAGAGCGAGAGAACAATAGAGAAAGAAGAGAGGGACACATCCAAGAGGTGACCAGAAGATTGTTTTGGATTATAAATATTTTAAGCTCCTATTTGGTTCTTAATAAACAATGAAAATAAAGCATTAATCCTCTTAAAATAACAAAGAGATAATCCGTGATGGTGTTATAGTTATTTAAGCCGAGTCCACTTCAGTCAAACAGAGAGACGAGGGTTGCTAGGGGCAATGGGTCCGGCACTCATCTTGTGTAGATTGATAGTGGTTCGTCCCAACAAACAGGGTCCTGCTTTCTCCCAGTGTGTGTAACTGTACTGTTTTTATGTGTTATACTATATATACAAGCTCTCTCGAAGGCTGTCTGGTGATCTGTCAGTCATGCTCAAGTCCCACCTCCTTCTCTGGCTTGGTCCTTCAAAATCCATAAAGCAAAATGTCCGCCAGGTATCCCAACAGCCACAATGCAGTTTCTCTTACATTACATGCTTCCCCACATGCATAATCATCTAACAGTTGCTGCTGTTTCGAAACTCTCCGTTTTCTGTGATCTGGAGCTTGGTGGGGTTGGTGGGGGAGATGCCATTTCGACTTTGCATGCTGTAGCGCTCCTTCAGTTGTGTCAGGGCGCTCATCAGCCTCGCGTTGGCTGCATCGAGAGACTGGATACGTTTCTCCTATGCGCACACATAAAAACAATTCAAGTTAAGAGCCAAAAATAGGATCACACATTTGTAAAGTCTGCTATAAATACAAGTAGAAAAATGCAGAAAGTGAAAAGTCCACAAATCTTGTCAGGAGCAGAGACAGAACTTGATGGAAAAATGAATAAAACATGTCTGCGTCGTCAAGCAGGAGACACAACTGACAGCACAATTGTTCTAGAGAGAAAACCGCGCGTGGATGTACAGAGGTGGGTACCATGACTTCAAAATAATTTTACTCAGGAAACAGTAGTGGCCAAAGAAATAACTTAAGTAAGAGTAAAAAAGTATTTGGAGAAACTGACACTTAAGTAAAAGTAATGTAAGTCTCACTGTCTGTAACATCTAATTTATGATTTAAATGTAATGTAATTGAAGGGCAAAACATAAGTCACACATTAAATCATATCTGAAGTGCAAAAAACACAAATGTTCAAAGATTTTGTCCCTTGAAGACTTACTCACAGTGGGAAGAATAATAAACTTTTACTGAAGTAAGAGTACTAGTTCCCTGCCAAATATAAATCAAGTAAAAGTAAAAACATGGTGTATGAAAACTACTTGAAGAAGTTACTCAAGTAAATGTAACTGAGTAAATGTAACTAACCACCTCTGTACATACAGCACAGAGGCACAATGTAGAACTGACCTGTGCATCAATGATTTTCTGTTTGGAGTCCACCACGGCCTGCATGTCTGAGTGATCCTTTTTCAGCTCCTCCTCCACCGACATGAGCCTGCAACAAAGTCCAAATGTCTTTTAAAAAGCCACAAATTGATTTGTGAATAAAAGCACTCTGGCAGCACTTGGAAATTGCAGACATGACATAATACAAATCCTATTATCCACAACTGGACTTGAACTGGAATATATTTTTTTCTTGTGGAGGGTCTGCTATCTGTTCATCTCAGTGGAGAAGGCCGTTTTGCTTAGAACAGCGGTTCTCAAACTGTGATGCACATAACACTGCTACTTTCTCTGTTATGCAGATACCTCTGCAGTTCAAATACTAGTTTCATTTATAGTCATTTTAATCCATGTTGTGGTCTCTCTCTTAATCCTTATCTAGAACTACCGGTAGTAGTTCAGTTGTGTAGTCCAATTTTAGACTTGTTTTTAGTCCAAATGTAGACCCTAAAATATTCCTGTTTTAGAGCTGGTTAAATTCTGGTGGTCCTCAGACAGACCACACATTGTCACTCTGAAGTTTCTTTGCTCTCCAATTGTATACAGAAAAAATAACATTAGATTGTGTTTGATGAGTTTGTTGTTGTGGAGGGTGGATCAGAATTGTATCATATAAATTGTATTTATTACAGAGATGTCTTGTACCTGCTAATTATGCTCTTCATCTGTAGATCTTTGTCATCCTGCTGCCTCCTCAGCCTCTCCTCGGACTCTTCCAGCCGGGCCTGGTACTCCATCAGGACCTTCTGAGCCTGCTCATCCTGGCCTTTCAGACGCGCCTCATACTCCTCCAGTTTCTGCACAGAGGCTCTCAGCTTCTCCTGTAGCACTGCAATCTCCTGCTGATACTAAAACAACACAGCACTCAGGATTAGCAAGTCAATCAGCAATTAGCACCTGGATAACATTTAAAGAAAATACAGTTTTATTAGTTTATTCTTGAGGGAAAAAATAAAGTAAGATAATAAGTTAACATATTCTATTTGTTTTATATTTTTACCAAACTGACCATATACAGGTACAATACTCAGCACAGTTCTCAGAAAAAAGCAACTTAGTTATTGTAGGGCTGTGCAATTGGTCAGTTATTTTAGCTGAGTTTGAGATCCAGCACCAGTGATATGCTTGGGTCTAATTGAGATGTCTACTAGAGCCCGACCGATATATCGGCTGGCCGATATTATCGGCCAATATGGGCACCTGGAGACATATCGGCTATCGGCCGATATGCTTGCTGATATGGGCCGATATTTCACGTGGGCATGTTATATCTTGTTATAAAGCTTAGACTCTCTACATTATGTTCATTTAATCCAATTTACAGACAGATAAATGTCCTAATATGTGGCTCCGCATCAGTATTTATCTACGGTGTAATTTGTCTGTGTCCGTACTGTCCCTGAACACACCACCAGAGTGACGTCACTTCACTCGCGTGTGTTTGTTTACACCTGCAGCGGTGCGCAACACTGAGATTACATTCTTTTTCGAACAATCGGTTTGAGTCTGGATTAAAAGGACATTTATTAAGTGCAGACTGGTGATGTGTGAGGAGGAGCCTGTGTGAGCGGTGAGTGTTGGAAATACATCGACTTTGAAGCTAGTTTAGGTTTTGTTAGCAATTAGCTGCTGTAGCTCCCGCACATAAACAGGCTGTTTTCTATTGGTCTATTGTAAAGTGACTATATTGGCCGTATATTTGTTACTGGACCAGCATTGATATGTAAATGAGCTGTGAATAGACGTGTAAATGATCCACATTTATGCATATAATTAATTACCGCGGTGCGCACGTTTTTACGGCTAAAGGCTAATAGCGATAGTTTACTAGCTAGGAGTTACGGGTCGGTCGCGATCGAAGCGGCTCTTAGATCCGGCTCTTTGAAGCGAACAACGGGAGCATGTTTCTTATTGGGAGCCGTGTTTTCTCTTTTTCTCACTTTTTCTCTTCAAGCCGCGGTCTACACCCGTAGTTTGACAGCAGCAGCGGCTGAAAACGAAACTTTCAGAAATCTGCGTGTGCATAGGATAAAAAAAGTGCATATTTGGCTGCAGTTCAGCATAAAATGAATAAACCAGGACTAATCTTAGGCTCGAGTGCAGGAGAGAGATAGAAACCGAGTCCCGACACTCAGTCCTGGTTCAGTTCTGGTTTAGTCCTGCTTGCAACAAAACAATCTCAAGAGTCGCTTGGGAGCCGAAAGAGCCAGCTGCTTTAGTGAGCCGAGCCAAAAGAGCCTGTTCTCCAAAAAAACCCCAAAAAACTGGAATACCCATCACTAGCAGTGACAGTAACAGCAGCTAGAATGTGATGCAAAAATGCCATTAGGCCAATCTACTGTCTGTAAATTTGATGTGAAGAGTCAAAATAACAATAAATGTTGCCTAAATAAACCCAATTTAGAATTCACTAGAGCCAAACCTAAGTTTTTTAATCAATTCAAGATTTACAGTGAATTTTTACATCACTAAATATATCGGCGATTATATCGGCTATCGGCAGCCCCAACTCCCATTATATTAGTTTCATATCGGCCACAACAAAATCCATATCGGTCGGGCTCTAATGTCTACTGCCAATCCTCTCTCAGTAAAAGCATGTTTTAAATGGCAATTATTAAAAGTCTTTTTCATGAGTTATTATTAAAGGTTATTTTTATTATTACTATTAATATTTTAAAAAAAAATAAAAGACTAAATATGATAAACTAACAAAAAGAAGTGATCTTGGTGGTGTAGTCTTCTCTTCCATGATTGTTGAGGTATGTATGTAAGCTTGTGTATGTTCCTAAACAATATCCCCCACATCTGCAGTGAATACATATAAAAATGAATGCACTGGCCTATCCTTTGGCCTCTCCTGTTCTCAATAATAACACTGTTTGTTTTGGATCCATTACTTTCTCTGACTGTATCGTCCCCTGCTGCGCTAAACGGAGGCTGTCAACATGTCACCCGATCTAAAAGTGCCTTGACTTTTTCGCTGTGCTTCTTTCAGATAAACAGTGTCAAAGGAGCATCATTTCAAAGTAATGTTTGCAGTTGGAGTGCTTTTGTTCTTTGTAACACATGCCAACATAGGACTTTTTTTTATGAATTTAGCTGCCTACCCCACATCAAACATTGTATTAAAGTTATGTTTTGTATTTGCTGCCAAACAAAAATGTTTTGAATTCTGACAGACTGAAAGCTGTCACTGGGCAACAATGTGTCGCTATCTTGGTCCAAGTCGATAAGTTACAATTGTATTCTTTTTACAGAATAAATAATAAAAAGTATATACTACAAATTTCAACCTGAATTACAAAGATTTCTGTAAAAAGTCTAAATTGTTGGTTTGTTATTGCATCGTAGAAGATTAGAGTCAAACTCATCACTGCAGGTGGAGAAAATGTGTTAGTGCTATAAATGTCCTTAACAACAAGTAAACAAAATAAAGTGGCATGTACACATGGCACACATTGTTAACGCTACATAGTAAAGGGGGTGTCTGTTATTTCCTTTTCTGCTTTGGCAGTATGCTGCAAAGTTTAGTTTATCAGCTGCATAGACTTCATGTTAGGAGCAGACATAAATTCAGTTCACATCCAACTCCCTTGTGGGGGTGCCTATGTTACACATATCTCTAAAATCTGTAAATAATACAACAGCAGCTTAGCTGTGAGCTGAGAACTAACGGCTGTGGATGATTAGTTAGGCTGAAGATATGACTTCTTTGGCTCCTCCGGTGGTCAGACCAGAGCTACTTTGTGCATGGGGGGAAATCTGTGTTCATTGTGAATGTAACAAACATAGAGTGTGGCAATCAGGCAAAACAAAGCAGACAGTGAATGACTGTAAAGGCAGAAGGAGAGGGAAGCACAGCAGAACGCATGCACATACAAAAAGCTTTCATTTGGAAGGGTTTACCAACTGCAGCAGGGCAAGAGTACTAAAATAATACTTAAAGTCATTAGTTTTTCTACGATATATGCTTGACTGAACAAGAGAAGTTGGAAATGATTTAATAAATACAGACACACTACAATACAGCTCACAAAATCTATTATACAGATTGGTATGGAATTACATAAGGTGATGGTTACGCGGGAGTCCCATATGGATTTTATGGTGGTATTATGCTAAACTGAACTTTTTGAGTTTTACAATGGTACAGTGTTATGTAGTTTATTTGCCTTGACTTGCCTGAGAAAGAGTTTTGTTTTAGACTTGTTTGCGTAATCCTGCATATTTAGAGTGCAGAGTGTCTCTGCTTGTAGCAGTGGTGTTATTACTTAAATATAAGTAGCTTTCTTTTATGACTTATTTTAAGTTGGAAAATACAAAGGTCAGGGTGTAACAAACCAGAATAGTGAATGATATATTTTTTCCTTTTGTCCAATTTTATGAGTGCACTGCAGTTTAATAAGCACATACAAAATGCTCAAACTTTTGATTGCAATGACTTTGTGCAACTTTTTTTGCTGACTATAAAAATCACAAAGACACCCATGAATAAACCTTCAGAAAAAGCTAAATCTATCCAACAGTGTGCCTCGCTGTCACGGTCGGTCTGCTTGAAAGCTTTGAAGACAGATATGGACTGAGAAGAGGAGGATACAAAGGAGAATATTCTTAGGCAAAAGGACTTATGAAACACGGAGAAGGCAGGAGAGGAAGTAGAAATACATGTCTCGGGTACATGTGCGTTACCTTTTCCACCTGTGTCAGATCCTCCCTGTTTCTGAGTGGCTCCATCCCCTCATGGTCTAAATACTGCACATTCATATTCAATAGCCAGGCTGCTGTACGGTCCAAAGCACTGGGGTTCACTGGGGAAGGGGCCTAGTGGAACCAACACACACACACACACACACACACACACACACACATGAGCAGGGTGCAAAATGATGGGAGGAAGGAGGCGGCAAGGCAAAAAAACAACAACACAATAACAGAAAAAAAGCTTGAGTGTTGGAACTGAAGGCAGTGGGATGGTATGGCGCTGTGCTGTAGATGTTCACTCACTCAGAGACGCACATGTCCTCATAGTAAACATGTGGAGGAGTGTGAACCAGCCACATAAACAGACTGTGGGAGGGGACTATAGCAGGAAAAAGGTGGGCTGTGATCTGACAAAATTTCTATGGAAATATATTTGAAATAGAGGTGCTGAGGATGTAAGAAAGATATTGGATTATTTTGACTATGTATGGCCAATGTTTCTAAGTGGACTGTGCATGTTATTATAAAAATTTTAAGGTTTTAAAGTATAAATTATAAAACTGCATCATTATGTGTTTTAAAAGTATATACTGGCATTTATAAGGTTGTAAATATATAGCATACAATCATTTGTGTATTAATTTGGTCAAAGTAGTATGCCAGATTATTAGATTAAAGATCTTACACTATGAATTTGTTATAGATTTCATACATTAAAGGTCCTATATTATACAAGGTTCTGTGAGCTTTAAACCATGCTATAATGCTCTTACCTCATCAAAAACATACTTAGAGCTGTATTTTGTTTTATTAACACATGTTTGAGCAATCCCATTATTAGTCTGTCTACATCGCAAATCTCAAAATGCTTTGTTACACCTTGTGATGTCACGCAATGCAAGTTTTCAAGTTAACAGCTACATTTTACCTTTTGATCAGAAGAGACTGACAAAACCAGACCTGAATTATCGAAATGATTTTAGTGAAGGTATATGGTGTTTAAAAACAGAGTGGAGCACTTCCTTTATTATCACATGGCATCACAAGGTGGAACAGAGTGTTTTCTGCCTGAAAAAAGAACTCAAACTAAATATGCAGCATTTGTGTGCTAAACATGTGTGAATGAAACAAAATAAAACTCCAAGTATGTTTCTGATGAGGAAACAGTGTTATAACAGATGAACAAAACAGTATAATATGAGCCCTTTAAGAACAAATTTATGTATTTATTTTTAACCTTGCTATTACAGACAACATCCAATGAACGTTGCCAAATGACTGATATCTACTCTGTCAGTCTATTAAATCGTTTCCCTCCCTCTGTGACTCTGTACCCACAATGACCCATCCCATTAAAGCATCAGAGCTCTCTTTCCGAAGCCTGCTGCCATGTCCTTGGATACAGTCATCCTTTGTGCACTTGATTGCTTATACTTCTCCTTAATAAGATGTTAATTATTCCTTCAGCGCCCCCATCCTCAGCCCATTAAGGGTGACCAGTAAAACAGTGGTGAAGTGATGAGCTGCCTCTATGCAAATTACTGTTATTACATGCGCAATGACTATAGTTCATTAGAGCACAATGTGTAGATTATCCTGACAAGCCTCCTATGTTTTCTAACCAATGGCCCTCTTTATTGCACAAGCAAACTTGATAGATCATTGTAAGTACAAGATGGTACAGACCCATCTTTATGATGTTCTGGATGTTTCCTGTTGCTGTTCCAAGATCATCCACACAATGAACCTGTCACCCTACTATTACTACTACTACTACAACTATTTTGGATTTTATGTAATAATAATCCAAATTGCAATAAGCGTGATGTAATGTAACGAACAAACGTCATTACATTTTTAGATGATTACGTACAAAACATGCAACCTGTACAATCTGATAACTCCCAAAATATGAATTATGATCTGCAGCTAAGTAGCAGAACATGTGCCCATTAACCCAAAGTTTTAAAGTTTGAGCCCTTCTGGTGAAGACTTTTGATGTATAATGATCTATACTTGGCACAGTAATGGCATTGTAATAGCATTTTAACATGGTTACAAGTTCAGTGAACATCAATTTTGCATAATAGGATCTTTAAGGGCCAAATGTAAGACCAATTATTTATATATCTATTGCCTCATATTTGACTGGCTCTTTGGGGAGACGGTCCAGGATCAGCAACAGCACTGCTCTTGGGAATACAAAGACCACACATCATTTAAGGCGTGATTCTTCCTCACCTGCTTGTGCTGTGGCCTGTGCTTAGTCTCTGGACTGTCCCCTTTGGAGGAGGACGACTGCTGCCTTAGCCGTGCTCCAGCGGGCCAGTCTGGTGAGGAGGTCATCATTGTCCCGGATGAGGGCCTGGGATAGGGGCCACTGTTGAGGAGATTGGGGGGCGTGCGTCTGCTGGTCATGCTCTGTGGAGGGGGCTGGTCTATCCTCCTCTGTGGTCCTGCACTGTTCTGCCTTGGGACAGTGGGCTGGTTCTGCGCATCGCCAAGGGACATCTGTCGCCGGGTGAACTCCCCAGAGCGCCTGGTGTACTCGTCCCCACTGCTCCCGCCTCCCCCCACCCCCTGTGTCATGAAGGTGTGCTTGGCTCCAGGTGGGTCCTCATTGTTGCTATGGGAACTAACAGAGCTGTGGCATTCCGATCCGGAGTCATTCAAGCCACGAGGAGAAACTGGCAAACAGGCAGCCATCTGGTAGACTGGATTTTGGAAGGAAAGGGGTGCGAGGAGCTGCCCAGGACGGTTTGTACCCTCTGTTACTGGTGTGGTCGGGCTCTGGCCTGGCCTCCTCAAGGTTGGGCCTCCTGCAATATTGTTCTGTGGAGCTCTGGTGGTCCAGCTCACACCATTGGCAGGACCTTCACCCGCACCATCAGAGGAACTGGGGCCTGGACCACTTTCCAGGATGCGGGGGTCTTGGAGGTCCACCATAGATAGGCTCTTACTACCATTAGGCATTCCCAAGTCAGGCTCGTTCGTCTCGGAATAGCTTGAGCTCCGTGCTGGAGAAGGTTGAATCCCTGAGCTCCTAGTCACAAAGAACAGGTCTTTGTTTTCTGGCGTTGGTGATGGTAATCTAGTGAAATCCACCAATCTGAAAGAAGAACAAAATATTGTCATTTTAGGTAAAATATTAAAGTAGACTTCTTCTTTATTCTGTAATGTTAGCGAATATTGTATAACATGGATACTACTAGATGTATTTTGGAAATGAAAAAGCACTCATTTAATCCATAAAAGTATGCTGTATCTCCTGAATCACACACACTACCATGCCTCAGCCCTGTACTTGCAATAGGTGGCAGCTCAAAATCAATCAAGCTAATTCAATCCTATCAAGTCCTGTCCAGATTTCCAGATGTAGTTATTGTGTATCAGCAACTATAATAATGCCATAATTTAAATCAAACTTTCTTTTCAATAGCTCTTATACAACAACCTATACAACAAATGACCTGCACTGCTGCGCAGCTACAATTTACCTACAAACAAGCATCCCTATTCCCCTCACGTGTGGCTGGTTTCTTCTTTATTTGCCTTTGCATTTCTTCCATTCTCTAACCTTGCTGGGTCCATTTTAAGTTTTTTTTTTTTTTTTTTTCACTTGTCACCATTTGCAGGACGAGAAGCAATTCGTTGAGAATTGGTCAAGGCTCATGCATTTGTTAGCTTCTGTTAGTGCTTTTAAACAGCAAACGTCAATATGAGCAATCAGTTTGTGTAATAAAGTAAAGAGACGAGGATGGAGAGACCTCATAGGAACATCAATTAATTAGTATTATTGATCTGGCTCCCCCCTGACCAGACAAAAAGCAAACGATTATCAAGTACGTCTCTTGAGTCATCTTTCTCATATGTTTTTTTCTGCAGCTGTTGTTTATGCTTGCCTGCTCTCTCCGCTCCTCATGTCTTCCTGGTAATGTGTCACCTTGCAGTTGCCGGGATGGGGAGTTGGAGCACAAGGCTATGAGGGAGATAAGGCTCTATGTATTCTTCTCAGGGGAGTAAATGAGGTTTCATCTAGTTCACGTAAACAAGAACAGACCACACACTCCCTGTGTCAAAGCTTCGCCTGATGGATGTAACACTCGTCAGCACTCTGCTAAGGTCATAGCATGCTCTAGTTGTGAAGAGTTTTTGTGCTCTGGCGGTGCTGAATGTTTCAATAACAGTATTATACTTTCTTTTTGGATTATCACTTCTGAAATCGCACAAAAAGGAAATTATTGGCTTCCCAGTGTTGTTTTAAGAAGAACTACGCAAAATGTCATGACTATGCATGGGATTCTGGTATTAGCTTAGAATCAGAATCAGAATGACTTTTATTCAACTCTAAGCGGAAATTGTTTTCCTTGCAGACATGCAGATGACCAGGAGAAGAACAGACTTACCAAGTTAAGTCAAATTAAAAATATCAGTAGTATCAATTAGCAGTTTATATGGTCTTCAGTTTATATGATATTACTGCTCATGACATGTATAAATGTGCAATGTAAACTGAATCATGATCATGAATCATTTACAACATAATTTACTAAATCTTAGATTTTTTCCAAAATGTTGCAGCCCTACCTAGAAGGATGGCTCAAATGCACACATATTCGCTCGCACACATATTCGCTCACAGGGACAATATTACTTTCACCTCTCGACTGCTCAGGATTGAAACTAATTGTCTATTGTCTGTACTACTTAGAACAAAAAACATATTCACAGTAGTTTCTTACCCTGAGAGGTCATTGTCTATGACCATCTTCTGCAGGCCTGTGGAGATGCTACAGCCTGCCTCAGCCGGAGGGGAGCCCATATGTTCGGTAGATTGTCCTGGTGTAATCTGCATACTGGATGGGTTTGTCAGAGCTGTGGTCACTTCTCGCAGGATCCTGGGCAGTGGTCCTAGCTTGGAGGTGGCACTCTGTGAACACAAAGTTATTCAAAAATTTTATATAAATTAAACTCAAATATTTGCGTTTAATTGATGAGTTTTTAGCCCATTTTCTCTAGTCCACATTATTTTCCCTGAAGCAAGTCATTTTGGCATCAGTTCTCTTATACAAAAAACACAATGAATAATGAAAGAGCCTGGCCAGCCTGATGGATTTAAATATTAGCCGAAGCACTAAGATTTATGAATTATAAAAATGTCAGGTTTGATACAGATGGATATTGCCTTTATCCTATTACTACCAGTTAGTCAGATCTACTGTAAAAGTCCTTGTAAATCCATTAATACTTTTCCCATTGAGAGTGATTTCCCTTAGCACGCTATTTATGTAATGCAATGTAATGAATTATAGATTACTGCATGATAAGCAAGCATCCTAATGTAGATCACGGACATTAAAATGCTTATGCTCTTAGACCCTCTGGAACCAATTTTAATTCCATCTTCTTGCAAGATACCCAAAACAATAAATAATGCATGCATTTGATTGAGTTTTCTAGTAGTCAATTGCAGCATATTTGTACCTGATCCATCTGGGACACCACTTCTGAGAGGAGGGAGTGCAGGGTGGAGAGCTCACGGCCCAGGTCAATGTAGCCTTCGAAGCCTGCTGTGTTTGAGATTGTCTCTGGGTTGGAGATTTCCAGGAGAAAACGCTGCATGTTGGTCCACTCATGCTCAAGGAACTGGTTCATAAATGACATGTACTCCTCTTTGTTTCCAAATCTGATGGAGGAGATACAAGGTTTAGCATAGATACTGCACAATGTACTGTAACCACTTATAGCATTTATCAAAATTCACTCTGTGTTTGAAAGCAGAGCTGCAAGAATGAATTGGAATCAAGTGAAAATCACAGTTTGAATGGCCATAATTGGCAAATCAAATATCATTATGTCCTCTACAAGCAACCAATCACTATAAGGTATAAAACCCCTTAACCTTCTAGATTACACCGCCACAAACATATTATTCTTGTATACATATTTCAACCTGCTCTCAAATTACAATGCATAAAATGCGCTTTGGCCAGATTTGAAACCTAATTTGCAAATCTCACTGCTCATGAGAAAAATTGCAAATCAAAATCTTTTCACAAAACCCTATTTTCTGTGTACCATCTCACTATCCAGTTAAGAGACATGCATCTTGTATGTGGCAAAGCTGTAAAAGTACATACTTGGTAAAATTGGCCAGGTTTTGCGTGACTTTAGCGATGAGAGTGAGAGTGCGTGCCGTGCGGTCATCTGGGTACTCCTGCATTAAGTTGAAGAGTGATGGGGACATGATGGCGGGACAGAGGAACCTCAGAAACAGAGATGCACTGATGAGACGCTCGCTGATGTCCGGTCGCCCCCGGTTACTACACTCCTGACGCCAAGACGCAAACACTTCCTTCAGCTCACGAGGAAACACACTGCCGAGAGGAAACAGGAATCACATAGTCGTCACACATATAATCTAGCAAGTTGAAAGCAATACCAATATCTACATTTTACATTAAATTGTATTAAGTAATTTACAACTGATTGGCTAGTAACTTAGCATTCACTAAAATTGTTATGTAGCTTGGGCATGTTTTTTTTTTTTCAATAGCAATATTTAAATTTTAAGGTACTATTTGTATGTTTTTATATTGTTTGTAGTGTGGGATTGGATTATTTGAGATTTGTCCACATACTTCTAATTCTGTGTTCAAATATGGATTTCTATAATATATCTATAACCTGGCATCAGCATATTTTCTTTGCCTTTGTATTGGTTATGTAATGTTGTGCGATCTCCATGTACAAATCAAGCAATTCCACAACATGTGTTCTAAAAACTAGAGCCCGACCGATATGGATTTTGTTGTGGCCGATATGAAACTGATATAATGGAAGTTGGGGCTGCCGATAGCCGATATAATCGCCGATATATTTAGTGATGTAAAAATTCACTGTAAATCTTGAATTGATTAAAAAACTTAGGTTTGGCTCTAGTGAATTCTAAATTGGGTTTATTTAGGCAACATTTATTGTTATTTTGACTCTTTACATCATATTTCAGACAGTAGATTGGCCTAATGGCATTTTTGCATCACATTCTAGCTACTGTTACTGTCACTGCTAGTGATGGGTATTCCAGTTTTTTTTTTTTGGAGAACAGGCTCTTTTGGCTCGGCTCACTAAAGCAGCTGGCTCTTTCGGCTCCCAAGCGACTCTTGAGATTGTTTTGTTGCAAGCAGGACTAAACCAGAACTGAACCAGGACTGAATGTCGGGACTCGATTTCTATCTCTCTCCTGCACTCGAGCCCAAGATTAGTCCTGGTTTATTCATTTTATGCTGAACTGCAGCCAAATATGCACTTTTTTTATCCTATGCACACGCAGATTTCTGAAAGTTTCGTTTCAGCCGCTGCTGCTGTCAAACTACTACGGGTCTACATGCAGCATGAAGAGAAAAAGTGAGAAAAAGAGAAAACACGGCTCCCAATAAGAAACATGCTCCCGTTGTTCGCTTCAAAGAGCCGGATAAGAGCCGCTTCGATCGCGACCGACCCGTAACTCCTAGCTAGTAAACTATCGCTATTAGCCTTTAGCCGTAAAAACGTGCGCACCGCGGTAATTAATTATATGCATAAATGTGGATCATTCACACGTCTATTCACAGCTCATTTACATATCAATGCTGGTCCAGTAACAAATATACGGCCAATGTAGTCACTTTACAATAGACCAATAGAAAACAGCCTGTTTATGTGTGGGAGCTACAGCAGCTAATTGCTAACAAAACCTAAACTAGCTTCAAAGTCGATGTATTTCCAACACTCACCGCTCACACAGGCTCCTCCTCACATCACCAGTCTGCACTAATAAATGTCCTTTTAATCCAGACTCAAACCGATTGTTCGAAAAAGAATGTAATCTCAGTGTTGCGCACCGCTGCAGGTGTAAACAAACACACGCGATTGAAGTGACGTCACTCTGGTGGTGTGTTCAGGGACAGTATGGACACAGACACAGACAAATTACACCGTAGATAAATACTGATGCGGAGCCACATATTAGGACATTTATCTGTCTGTAAATTGGATTAAATGAACATAATGTAGAGAGTCTAAGCTTTATAACGAGATATAACATGCCCACGTGAAATATCGGCCCATATCAGCAAGCATATCAGCCGATATGTCTCCAAGTGCCCATATTGGCCGATAATATCGGCCAGCCGATATATCGGTCGAGCTCTACTAAAAACTATTTGACTTACATCCAGGGAGAAATTAATCTGAAACCCTGTTATAATAATGTCTTAAAACATGAAGAAGATAAAGAAAAGTCACCAGTAAGAGTTGATGATTTTACAGAAGGCCAGCTCGCAGCACATCTTCAGGTTACTCTGGTGTTCTGGGAGGTCTCCTGATGAACACTTGGACGGATCCACCTCACAGTTCTCATCTGACTCGTACAGAGCCTTGATGAATTCACCTGTAAAGATTGACAAATGTTGTAAACATGGAAAATTGTCTGTAAACAAGATTATCACTAACATTTCAGTTACTGTTTTAAAGTTGCACTATATCACTTTTAAGAGAGTGTCCGCCACCTTTGTGTTTCCATGGATATGTGATTGCTTTGTCTGAAATGTTCCATGGTATGATATTAAACTTGTCTCTATTGCATTTATTCAAATGCAGGTGTTTTTAATGCTTAAAAATACCTTGGGAAAACATACTCTTACTATAAGCGGGTTTGTCTCTCTCTCTCCACAAATCTGAACTGTAATTTGATTTGGTGGAGTAACATGTTTGTCTCCATGGAAATAAGATAGTTTAATACCATACTGTGGAACATTCCATGAGAAGCAAGAAGTTGGCAGACCCTCCACAAGAAAAAGTAAGAAAGTAGGAAGTAAGAATAGAAGGAAATGAAGGAAAAGAAAGCCTGTTTCGTCATGCCATAGGTGGAGATGTTTTTCCACTTTGTCAAATTACTGACAGGAGTTTGTCTGCATCACCAGTTCTCCAAAGACGATATGCTTCATCCCCTCTGCCTATCTCTCCAAAAGGCCCTGAATGCCCTTGCACTATCACAGTCACAGCTGGGAGACTTTTAACAGACATTCAAATCCACTGGGTATACATTTGTCTTATAAAACGCAGTCTATAAGTGTAGCAGCAATGACAGCCACAAAGACAAACAAACCAAATTAATGCAGACAAATTGAAAGTTAATATAAGCGACAGGATGACAATGTGAGTGAATGCTTGCAAGTGTGTGTGCATTTGGAAATTACACTCCTGCTGTGTACTCTCCCAGAGCATCAACAGGAAGAGCAGACACAGAATACAGAGCAGTGATTGGAAAGACTGCAGTGCAACTTTGCTCCAACCTTGTTTAACTTTGTACAATTGGGACGTTTAGGTGTAACTAATCACGTCATTGGGTCGGAGGGGTGTGTTACAATATTGTATACAATATTCTATCTATCCACGGGTTTCAGAAAAATTAGGAGGTACCATAGCAATGAACAATTCAAAACAAAATATTATACCTTTTGGACAGGGAAAAGCATCCTCAAAATGTTGGATATAGCAGAAAGATGAAACCCATGAATATATCATGAACTTGAGATACTGAACAAGTCCTTATAGTTTTATCTTTCAAACTATTCAACTTAAATTTAACTTTTTACATTTGGACATTACTGTATTAGGCAGACTTATTACTTACCAAGGGCATCTTGCAGATATTTTTGCCCTACTAATTTGAGGTATTCCTCTATAGCCTTTGTGGCCAGTGTGTTTTCTCTGAAGATGAGGTGCTCATTCTCTCCACAGCGATCCACTTCTGACATCATCAAATCTGTCAGGAAGTCCTACAACAACACAATGATAAGAAGTTAGGTATAACTAGAAAAGCACTCAGAGAGCGCAGACCTCCGCCAAGGACTACCCCCATTTTTTATATAAATTGCGATAAAATCAGTCTTCTGGATCAGATACGGATCAGCCTTTGGAATATGAAAGAGGATCCCATTGTCCATCCCTGAGTCAAATTTCATGGGGTTTGGTCAATAATTAACTAAGATATTGAGAAACAAAATTTTTGGCCCCATTTACCACAATGTTATCTAAAATTTCAAAGTGATCCAGAATCCAGGATTTCTTCCGGATCACCTCCAAAATGCAATCATTCTTCCTTTTCACATTTCCAACAAATCCTGAAAATTTCATCAAAATCGGTCCATAACTTTTTGAGCTATGTTGCAAAAAAACAAACAAACAAACAGACAAACGCTGGCAAAAACATAACCTCCTTGGCGGAGGTAATAATGTATACAACAGATTTGTAAAGATTTGCATAATTATTGTTGAAATAATCTTGGTTTCTGAACATGTGTTAACCCAAACTGTAATGTGTAAACAAAGCCACTAGGGGCACTGTAGATATGCAGCGGTGAAATTTCTGTTGGGCCATTAAAGATAATAAGGACAAGACATATACATAATAATAATTTAATATAAAAATAAATAATATTTTAACATGATATCATGGAATATTTATCTGTCTATAACAATTGATAATAAAATGTTGTAGTGAGGAGTTTGGCAGCTGAGAGCATTCTGTTGTAAATGGTGAAACTACCACTGAACAATACTTTATAAAGAAACCATATTTGTAATAAATATTTATTTTCATAGGGAATCATATGCAGCAGTAGTTCTGACTAAAAGATGCTATAAAGGCTTGCATCTTGATCTAGAACTGTAGAAACAACACTAAGTAACATATGCATCACGTCGAGAATGCTGCAAGTGCAGAGAAACAGCAGGTGGATACACAAAATAATTCCTCAAAAACGGAGTGAACGAGACACACAAAAATGAGGCATCTGGGGATGGATCATAGCTTGTTTCTGCCACTTTCAACACATTTTCTGGGTGCATTTTTTTTGGAAGTCCCCTGGCGTCTTGTTAAACTTGGGGAATGGGGATCCAGCAGCATAACAGCAAGGGAGACGAGAGCTGTGTGACAGATGTAGAGATAGAGGGAGACAGAGCGGAGCTGGTCTTTTAAGAAACAGAGCAGACGGTGGGAGAGAGAGAAAGTATCCCAGACATTTTCTATAGCTGCCACACAAGCCTGTTATCCATCTAATCAAAGGCACGCCACAGGGAGCCAATCACCCAGAGATGTGCAGCCAAAAGAGCCTCGCTGACCAACATGAGTACAGTCCACACATGAGTACACTTAAAATGAAGGTTCCATACATTCATTAGACTAAAAAGTGAAGGTTTTACAGGGATGGTTAGATATATATTGATATAAAGCACTCACTGTATTAACAACAAAGGTTTTACAGTTTAAGTATGTGTGTGTTGGCTGAAATGTATGATTCAATAGGATGGATAAAAGAGTTACGCTGGAGAAACCTAGTGGCTAAACATATCATGACATTTTGGGTGTACACTTCCCCAATGCCATAATTACAGGATTCATTTTGGACTTTTGGTAAATTGTAACCCTAATTACAAAGTCTATCGTTATTAGTCACCATCTCACAATTATTCACTTAGATTTTAAGGGAAGAGTTGTAACTACTCTGGCACTGGGCATTAGCTGACAGCACCATGTTGAGAAAATTTTATGAATGACTACCTTATACAATGCATTGCTGGGAGATAAAGACATTGACTCTCTTGTATGTTTTTAGACCATTTAGCTAATCTGATCTGCTAACTCTCTTTTTGGAAAGCACACAAAGTATTCACTCAATGCATAACATAAAATGCTTCAAAAATTTTACAGGCTAATTTTGCACCTTTAACTGTAGATTGACTATCACTGTCAATTATTACCAGGGCAGTGAAGGGAAGGGATACCGGGGAAAGTGAACAATGAGCAACAACTCAAGCTCTGACACTTTCCCTAAACTACAAAAATGTGTCAAATGAGAGACCACCATGACGCATCGCAAGGCTTCGGTCTCTTCGTGGCTGGTCTTGGGGCTGAAGGGGCAGTAGCTTCCTTTGCTGTTGTCATTGTAATCCCCCCTCCCATTCCTCCTTCTCCTACCCCCTCCTGCTTCTCTGGTACTAATAAAGAGAAGTGGAACATGGGCTTTATCGCTGCCACATCTCATCAGCCCAACCATGGTTCAAAAGAGAACTCCTGCACAGTTTATGGGAGTGGAGGCCGTCAGGAATACAAGAGGGCAAGAGTGGAGGTGGTGTGGAAGTGCAGGCCTCATCAGATCTCATCAAGTCCTGTTTGAAAAGATAGCCTGTGTGAACTCACTCTGTGACACTGCACAATCGCTACTTTGTGCAAATGGGACTAGATTTAGAGTGGTAGAAATGAATACCCTGTACTCAAGTGTATTCAAAATTTAAAATATCGTAAAAAGGATTAGGCACAAAATAAAAGCTAATGTCTTTCTCTTTGGGGTCAAATGGGTTCACCATCTGTGCTGTACCCTACTCAGGTTTAAAAATGCATGAATGATAAAATATGCCTTTGCCTGTGTTTTGTGAAATTGTAATCATGAAATTAAATTTAGATCATGTTTAAGCATTTAAATACATCTTAAAATGGCCAAAACAGAGACATAATGAAAACTAGTACTAGCTATTGTGTACTGTATAATGTGGACTTTGTTTAGTGGCTTTTTGAATGTGTTTTTATTATTTCAAGAATAATACAAACAAACAAATCCATAAAAAATGTCAAAAAAATAGACGAGAAAATATATGCGTTTCATTCAACAAACTCCCCTGGGATCTCCACTACAAATCAGACTCTCTAGCTTAGGGCATTAGAACTCCAACTTGACTCTCTGTGGCTGGACTGAATGAACCAACTATATCAGTACCTTATATAGCCACTTATAGTGTCTAAGATGGAAACGTTTGCCTGGAAATGGCCCGGCTACACTCCCTCTTTAAGAATCAATAAGTCTTGCTTCTCCGTCCAAATTGAGGCTTAAGAAAAGACTGCCTCCTCTCCTCTCCCCTCCTGTATCCTCTAGCCCTCCTCCCGGGAGACTGGGGGATAGTATTACAGCGATATAGCCTGCAGTGCTTCCTGTGAGGTCACTGGGCTGGCACCGAGACTGAGGACCAATGGAAACGCATAAGATCACTTCATAGGACAACTGTGCTGTCAATCAAAGCAGAAACAGGAAGTGACTTGAGCTGCCCTTCTGCTTTAGTTGCAAATTATGGAGCAAGCTCGCCACTAGAATCACAATGTTTGAGTCACTTGAGTCGGACTGTGGCAGCTGCATCACCTATGAAGATCAGCATATTTCTCATCTCACAGATAAGTTATTTTAAAACGGCCAGTATGTAACTTTTCTAAAGGAGGTTTGTTTGAAAATGTTATATCTTTAGCTGGAAGCAAAACTCCACCAGGTTAAGTTATATATCAAATTTGTTAGTTTGTTGAGAAAGGTTACTGTAAGAAAATGTTTTAGCCTGTTTAAACATGTCACTGAATAAATGCTATATAGATACATTTTATGCCTTACAGTGTAATATTGTAGAGAAAGCAATAACATCTGCATAGAGACAAGCAGGTGAGAGTCCCTACTAAAAAGTTACACAATACACCTTTTATAACTCCATTTTCAACTTCAAAAAACATGAACTAATTATGTAAGCCATTTCTTATATTTCATTTTTAACCATTGCACTGTTGATCATGCATAGCACTGAACAGGGCTGTAATGATGACAATGCCACCTCTCCCTGGCTTGTTTTCAGAGGCATAAATCCACCTTATTGTCACGTCCAACAGTCAGAGAAGAGCCGTCTCAACAAAATTAGAACATAATCTTCCTGTGAGCCAAGGCCCTGAAGACTGGATCAATAAATAAACGCGCTCATGCCAGCAGTGGAGATTTTCAAAGATGGACCTCTTCTGGAGGCAATTCCAACTCAGCAGTGAGCTTGTTTTTGTTGACGAGGAGCATCTAATAGTGCTGTTTGGCTTTGTGTCCCAACGGGGGCACACACCACACCGGCATGACCCCCACACGTCAGATAAACAGGAATTTCTCACTCACTATTTCAATTGCAGAGGCTTCTTCATATAGGCCAGAGTCAACCACTGCTGTGTACCTGCTCATGTGTGAAATTAAATAGAGGACCTAGAAAAATGGGCTAATGTATTGAGATGGATAGAGTCAGAGTTTGGGGGTAAATTTGGAGATTGTGGTTAAGGTCTGAAAGCTCCTATACACAAAAATACTCAAAATATGTAATCATGTTAGACCGCCGACAGTTATTTTAATTGATCCATGCATCAGAGATACTATTACTTAAAGTGGCACTACGTAACTTTTCTGGTTGTGTGTCTGCCTCCTGCTTGTCTCCGAGGAGATGTGATTGCTTTGTCTGGAATGTTTCACAGTGTGGCCCTCAACTTTAAAAACAAGTATCCCTATTGTTAGCCAATTCTCCTCTCCACAGATTCAACCTGTAATTTGGCAATATCTGTTTGACCCCAGAAAAACAAATACAGGTCATGTCATTCTGCAATAAAATATTCAATATTCTGCATTCAAGCAATAAAATTACCATGGAAACAAGGAGGTGGGGGACTTTCTGCCAGAAAAGTTACATAGAGCACATTTCAACATTTCAAAAACGATTCAATGTACGAATCTGTAAATAAAATACGCTTTGAACACATGATAATCAAGACTCAAAACATCACCAATGTGAGACAATGTAAATCTACGTGAGGATATTATAGGATATACACACATTCGACATTTTACAAACCATTAACACTCCACCACATTCTCTAATTACATGTTTGCTAGACCTTGTTTGGATGCAGATGAGAGAGAAAAGAAAAAACTTTTCACTGCAGAAAACTAACAATCATAATGCTCAGGCCAGGAAATGCAGAAAAACTACTTCTGTGTTCTGCTTCAAAGTATAAACTAATTAGTACTGGGAAATATTTTTAGCCCAAGTGGTCTGTCAGAGTGCTGTGTAGTGTTTGGCACATCATCACTGCTGTGTCTATCAAACGGAGACATCAGAGGAGTAAACACAGATACAACTATGTCTCATACATCTGCTAAAATGTCCACAGCATATTTGTGGTACATATTTTGCAGAGGATGGTATGTACGTACTCAACTAAAATACAGCATCTTGGAATACATTCATTAGTTGAAGAATGGACCCTTTTCCTGCATTAGGTAATATTTAATTTATCCATCAACCTGACCACTTAAAGGTGTACAGTGTACCTTTTCAGATGGGGAGTCTCATCGAGATGTCATTGCTTTGCTATTGTTCCACAGTATAGCATTAAATTGATCTAGCTAGTATTTGTTTTGTAACTTGTAATTGCTCAAAATACCTTGAAAAATGCATTCTTACAGTAAGGGGGCTCACCTCTGATCTGATCTGACCTGCAACTCTGCCTGTTCACGTCACATTCTCGTCTCCATGGACAGATCCAATGCCATATTATGGAACATTCCATGTAAAACAATAAAATCTCCATGGGAACAAGCAGGTGGGGAACCCTCTTCTAGAAAAGTTACATACCTTTAAAAAGTCATCACGACAACTCTAAGGAAATAAAAGTAGTTTTCAATAAACTTTTACAGGGTATCCCCAAGTCTGACTATCTCAAATTAAGACTTTTTTAAGACCTTTTTAAGACCACTTAAATGAAAATTAAGAACAACATTGCACCCATTATGCGGGTGAAAAACACCAGATCCAATTCTAATAATGACCAAAAAACTACTATACCTAGAATCTAAGAGCCACTGTGGATTAAACCTACACTTCACCATGATCCATCAGTGTCTTCCTCCACTCTACTGATTGTTTACTCATTACCGCTGGTGCCAGAAACCAGAATATTTTTTGTGCATACTCCAAATTAGATGTTCCTTCACATTACGTGATTTCACGTTGTTTTTTTCTCCTCCCTCCATTTAACATTGCACTGCAGCCCAGTTGAGTATCCAAAAAATAGGCTAATGAAATTGAAGACCTTTGTGAAAAAATAAGACTTGGTCAGCATAATTTAAGACTTTTTAAGGCCTTAATTTAGGAACATGAAATTTAAGACATTTTTAAGATCTTTAAGAATCCGCGGTTACCCTGTTTTATGACATTACTAACCATGTTTCTTTGACAGAGTTTGCTACAGATACACCCTACTGTTAACACTACTGACTGCCCACTGTTTCACCACCACTGGCTTAATAATAAATTCAAAATCTATCTTACAGTAACAGTACATTCTGTGGGTAGGCAGTAATGGTTACACATAATTTATGTACTTGAATAAGTTCTCAAGTAAAATATACTCAATGTTACTTCACTGACTGTACTCCTACTTAAGTATATTTCTTTGTATAATCTTCCCACCTCTGGTTATTTTCAGCTCCTGCACTGAATGAGTGGAAAACTTGAAAACATGGGCAGGAAGTAAAGTAATAGTTTGAGTGGATAAATTGAAGTAATTATGGACATGGCTCTCTCCAGGGGCCTGCTTCTGTTCCATCAGTCAGCCTCTCTCAGAGCAGTGCTTAAAGCTGCACTATACAGCCAATGCACAGCTCGTCTTAAGCACTAATCACTCACTGTGGTGTTGGGGCGTGTTACAGTCACCCAAAGTCTGAAGAGAAAGCAGCGTTGATGAGACGCTGTCAGGAAAAACTAGGCTTGTGTTGTCTTCTGTGCGACTGATGAGGCAAAACAGAAAAGGAAGTTGAAACTCATAAATAAAAGCAGTCTAAACACATCTGATGCTATTTCAGGCTCAAAAGACAAAAGACAGCTGCTTTTGGTCCTGTCTTCCTCAAGTTGTACCTCTACCCCAAGAATGTAATTATAGACAACAGAAAAAAAGAGAGAGAGAGAGAGAGAGAGAGAGAGAAAGAGAGAGAGAGAGAGAGAGAGAGAGAGAGAAAGAGAGAGAAAGAGAATTTAGGTTTAGATGAACATGATAATGTTCATCTAAACAGAAAATGATTTTAAGCAACTTTAAATCAGATAACACTCTGGCTTCTATGGCTAGTCTGGGCTGTCTAATCTCACATGGCTTTAGACATAGCACGCTCCAGATAACGATCACATTGAACTATTATTAGTATTGCATTTGCTCATGATTATTTGAATGCCAAAACAATATAGTAATTGCAACTCTAATTTAATATACATTCAGATTCAAAGACAGTTTCCTCAACCGTAACACTGCAATTTTAAAAGAAATGATAGATGTTGAATCTAAACATTTCTATTAGTAACTAGGCTTTAGAAGTCACTGTATAACAATAAAAATCTGACCCATCTCCTATCTCCATTGCATGTTACAGGCCTATAGAATGTCATCTAACCCAAATCAAATAAATTAAAGCTATAACAAGAAAGCCAAGTGGCATCCATTTGACTAATCAGCAAATGACTAGATAGCGCTAATCCTGACCAAGTAGTGTCACAACTTTTGTATTTGCAATTACACATATAGTAAACATTGCTTAAGATGTTTAGTCTACCAATTGCTGACATTCCTTTAAATGGCTAAAAAAAATAGCTTCAAAAGACCCAAGACTCTCTTACACTGGAGTACAAATGCAGTCTTATATACAGTCTTATAACCCCTTTAATCCACAGTGACAGTCAGAGATTGGATAAATGCAGTTGCAGGGTGAATGTGTGAAGCGGTCACCCCCTGTTGTGCCAGACTAATCTGCCCCTGCTTACACCCACTGCACCAGGCCCAGGAGTCTTCATATCATCTGTAATGCACTGGTATGCGCTGAGTCTACAATGCATGTGTGGGGTTAGCTCCAGTTTAAAATGTAATACAGTTGTCTGCTTGTTCTTTGTCTGCGCCATATTAAAACAGCCGGGGTCAACAGTTCAACAAACAGCAGTGTTAACCTCAGTGCACAGGGGAAAACACTCAGAGCCTTGACATAATTCAGCCTCATCATGGGGTTTTGTATAGCAAGATACTCCAAAGACTAAAGGATATGTAGTCTAGTGTTGTTCCGGTGCTAAATTTAAGAATAGGTTTGTTACTCAATACAGATTTTAATATGATAATGATAAAAGATTATAGTAGTTTCTTTTATAGTATGTGGTCTTCTCACTAGTTCTGATATAGACCATTCCAAAACTATTCAGTCCAATTAGTCCAAGTGGGGTCTGTAGAATATCTTAAAACATCAACATCAAGTATTTTACATTTTCTGGAGTTTCATTATATTCAGATTTTTTTCTCTTTAATTCTTGTAGATTAGCATACCTCTATTTGAGCAAGTCTCAAACTTTAATTACAAAGAAGGTGGTGTCATAACATTATCTATTGTCTTTATGATCAAAAGCATACTCGTTGTGTGACAACCATCCATATTCAAACAAGTTAGTTTCCTTCATTTTAAAACAAGAACACACAAACTGTCAAATTTGGACAGAGGCATAGCTTGTTTGCAATAAACCTCTTCTCTCAGCACCTGGCCCATCTTAGAGGCTGAATAATTATTTGAAATTACTGAAGTATCAATTATTTCAATAGTCAATTACTCACAATTCATTAGTTGTTGGAGCCCATAACATTGCATAATACATATAGATCAAGATTTAAAAATAGAAAAATTTCAGCATATACTAACCTTTGCTTTGCCAGTACTCTGCAGAATATGCACCAGCGCACATGCCATCTCCTCTTTGTTTTTCACACTTATGCCCGGCTCCAGCACTGAGCATAACAACATGTAGTTATTAGTGGTGTATTCCGCAAACTCCTTGTACATCTCCATGGGAAGTATGTTCATGGTCTGGTAGCGGGCCTTAATTCTAATCATTGGCCCAGAAGTCTTTGCTTTAGGGGGGATGGGAGTGCTGACGGGATACCACTTCTCCACAAACTGCCGTCCCGTCACCGCGGCAACAGGGATACTGACCAGTCCGATGTAGTTGTTCTTGTCTTTCTTCTTCTTCTTGTCCGTATCTTTGTACAAGTGCGCTGTGATGTTTTTGACAGCAGGGAGGTTGTTGAACTCAAAGTGCTCTCCCCAAAACACATTGTCAGTTTTGAGCTTACACGTGGTGCGGGCATAAAGACAGTCATCCAGACACAGTTCACAAAAGTACTTCTTTTTGGCAGGTAGGTCTTTGGCCTCGATGATCCAGAGACGCAGCAAGTTCTCCACTCGTCGGCTGTTGTCCTGAAACCAATGAGGCAAAAATTGCATTAATCTTAAAGCAGTGAAATATGCTACTTGCAAACTTGTGAATAAAGACAGATAACACCTTTGTAATGTTATAGAATTGCATACTGCATGTAACTGAATGATTGACAACTGTGACTTGTTTTATATCACTCGAGCTAGAGCTAAGTCTTTCCAACTCAAAATAAGATATAATGTTGATAAAGTAATATAAAGTTTTTTTTTAGGAAGATTATATTTATAAAGATAAATACTGTGCTGGCAAAGAGTCTGATTCTGTAAAACACTGAAAGAAAAACACTTGAGAATTCAATCAGACCCTAAAGTCTGAGAGCCTGGGCCTAAATGATCAGACATACACTTTACTTTCCGTTTTGTATAAAATGGATCTAATGTCTCATTTTTACTCTTTCATAAGTGTTCCTGGTACAGTCTGCAGCAATGGACCACTTCTACAAAAGGTAAATTGCTTGATTAATTTGCTGAGTCATTCAGCCTGAACGCATGAGTGAAAGAGCAAGCATCCAGAAGCTCTTTAATGATAAGTAGAGTTACAATAGCACAGAGCAGTCAGACATGGTGTGAAAGCCTTTAGGACAGTTGGATCACACATTTAAAAACCCTGATTTTGAGTAAGAGTCTCAACTGATGTAGTCTCATCATTAAAATAAAAAATCCTGACCTAATCTAAATATGTTTGGTGAAATCATGATCTTTTAAAATATATAACGAAAGAAGAGCATTATTGTCACTGTCATTCACTATTACATACACATACTTAGATACTTTCCTAGTTATAGTAACAGTAACAGCAACTGTTACTTTACTGTTGTTCTGGAACTAAACCTGGACTAGACCAGGACTAAACTAGACCAGGACTAAACCAAGTCATCTGGACAAAAGTGGCCTCAAACCAGGAGCCAACAAAAACCCACCCTAGGACTAATATTTTTACTCAAATAAAAGTAAAAGAATCTGGAAATATCTTAGGACATGTATATAACTTAAAACATAAGGAGCTATATTATAAGCAACTACAGTAGATGAGTTCTCTGTCTTTCCAATGACACAGTTCTAATGTGTGCTTAGGGATATGCTGATGTGTATGAACAGGTTGACTGCTTCTCTCTTTCTCTCCCCTCCCACTGTGAAGTCATGTACTCACCTTGTTGGGCTGCACCGCTCTCCTCAGATTCTCCATCCATTTGTCTCTCTCGGCTGATGAACGACAGGAAAAGCATTTGCTTCCCGTGGAGGTGGTGACCTACCGCAGAGACAGGAGACGAAATTTGAATGATCAAACCTTAGGCATATATCGCCAGGACATAATTAGAACAAAAGATTGCATTGCTAAACTTAGTTCTTTAAACCATTTTGTTTCACGGTGAAAAGAAGCTTATCAACACAATGGTAGATGATGTGAATGGGCTGAAGAGGAGAAAGTGTTTGGCAGGCCGATTGTAACAAACCAGAACAGGGACAAGCTAAAAACAGCAAAACAAACCTATTAATGCAATGAGCCAGATAATGATGATTAGTGGAGGCTTGTGGTCTCGCTGGTATTGTGTGCTGTTTCTTTACTGTCTATAAATAAGAACTAACACAACACTGCCAGTTGTCTTCGGATTATAACAGAAGTGCAGCAGAAGAAACACAGATGTCCTCACTAAGTCTGTGGGGACGCTGCTCCACTTACAACACTGACAGAAACTTATAGAAATGACAGTCACTATGCACAAACTGTGGTTTGGTCAATAAGTCCCCTTATAAGATAACTAGTTGTACTTTTTGATATAGATATTTGTGCAATATCTATTTGTATTTGTATTTTATGTATTTATCAATATATTTGAAAAAAGGACATTGCACATAACTTAATAGAGTAAATGTGCCCAAATTAGCTAATTTGAGCTAATTTTCATTCTGAGAAGTGGATAGTAAAGTAAAAAAACTACTACTTGTAAAGTATTAAAAGATGTACTTTTGTGTGTGCTTTTTACTTATCGCTAAATAGAAGTGGGCTATATGGAATTTAACTTACATCATTTTCACAATAATATTTTTAATTAATATAAAAAGTTGTATATTCTATTTTCTCAACTAGTTTTTGTTCACAAATATTCTGCTCAACATGAAAGTGAAAATAATTTGAAGAAGTCCAAATCAATTAACCTTCACTTGTAGATTGTATAAGAGATGGGAGTATTTAGTGGAGCAATGATTTCACAGAGTGCACGTGCTCCATATGGCCCTCCTCACCTCAAAGCAGTAGTCCTGCCCGAGGATGCTGCTGTGAACGGGCTTGATGATGACTTCGTCCTCCATGCTTAGGTCCAGGGCTTCCACAGCACTGCTAGGGCTGAGCAAAGATTCATGGGAGCGAGACTCCTTCAGCCTTGGCATTAAATGAGACCTGTGAGAGGACAGAGAGAGAGAGAGAGAGAGACGTGTGTGTCAGCCCCAGGGACATATAGAGAGAGAGGGACAGCATATGCACATGGGAATAGGACAGTAGTCATAAAGAGTGTGAAGAAAGCAACTGTAAGTATGACACAGGGAGGGAAGGATGTCAAACAATTATGTAACTGTTACAAAACTTAAATATAAAGTCTTAATACTGATTTTCTAAATGTGAAATATCTTCAAACTAAATAGTTTGAAGTTAAATTGTTTAATAACAAATATATATTTTATCAAGACACGCTTTGCCTGTTGTTATTGAGACACATTGCATTGTGAGGTATTGCTGCTCTCCCTACATACCTGGTTAGACTCATGTGAGACAACAATTATCCAAGGAGCTATGAGCCAGAGGTAGGTTAAACATCTCAGACAATGACAAATAAGCCACAGGTTTAAACCTTGAAGGAACACATTAACAGAATATTCACTTTCATCATACTTCACTACATGGGTGGGAACCATTTTTTTATTTTATTTTATGGAATGGCCCATTCAACTAATCAACAATGTAATAATAATAATAATAATAATAATAATAATAATAATATTAAAAAAGACACTGAGAAGAGACAGCAGGGCAATTGACAGTGTAATGAGGGAGGTACTCTCTTGATAATGGCCGCTATACAAAGCTTACAGGCTAATCTCTCTGTCCGTGTTTATTTGTGCCTTCTCGGAGGACTCCAGATAAATACTGTAAACTCGTAAATAAAAGTGGGGAAAAATCTGCTGTAATTATGGATTAGCATCCGGGGGTAGACCGCATTCAGACAGCTGGCTTTGTTGTCAAATCCACAGTCCAATAGTCTCGATTTCCCTAAAGATCTCTCCCTCTCACACATACATACACAAAACATACATTTGCATTCAGTGGACAAACCAACAGCAGTCCGTAACCTGCTTCACACTTCATGTTTATACAGAGGAGGCATCTCTCAGCACTTGTTGTCACAGCGCTGCGTTGTGATTGGCTGATGAGGTACTGGGCAAAACAGCCAGCGAGTCAAGTGAGGAGAGAGAGGGAGGCTGGGGCATTCTAGTGAAATGTGTTCTCAGAGACACAAAGGATTGATGAATGTTAGGTGCGAACTTGCTTCTTGGACTGTTCAAAAGGTTGAAAATGTATAATATATACCAAAAATGGGTGTTAATTCTCTATGGATATTCAGTGACTTGTCTTAATTATGAAAGTAAGTAAGTAAGCAAGTCTTTATTTATATAGCGCTTTTCACAGACATTTTTTGTCAAAAAGATGCTTTACAGAGCATTATTCAGCAATATTAGTTTACTCTATACCTGGTGATGGTAAGCTACTATTGTAGCCACAGCTGCCCTGGAGCAGACTGACAGAAGCACAGCTGCCATGCCAATCGGCGCCATCGGTCCCTCCAACCACCATCATCACTCACGCACACACCACTTTCATACTAGGCAATGTAGGTAAAGTGTCTTGCCTAAGGACACAACGACAGTTATTCCCACTCTCGCCCCACTGTGCACCTGATTTTCTCAGTGGTCTCCCATCCAAGTACTAACCAGGCCCAGCCTTGCTTAGCTTCTGAGATCTGACGGGATCAGGCTTTGACAAGCCGGTATGGCCACAAAAGTCAACATGCACACAAACTATGCATATGTTTATTCTATTTCAACTACTACAACAACTACTACTACTACTACATCTTCTACAACTACAACAACTATTACAACTACTACAACATATTTAAAAATCAAATCACAAAATTTATTAAAAATCAACCATTTTGACCATAAACAAAGGAATAATAAATGCAAATGTATACAGTAATTATTATCCATGTACACATTTCAAATATTTTTACATTTATTGTACACTTTATTCCAGTAAGTAAATTGACCTAGTCTCTGGAGAAAATAAGTATGGTAGCCATGCCCATCATCATGACACTAAAATAGGCCGCCTTGAGCAGGGGTTGGGCCCTTTGGAGCTTCCTGTTCCCAGGATCACTGGCTAACCCTTTCATTCTTTCTTTTCAAAGTTTATTGTAAAGATAACATAGTTATCATCATCAGGACGTTTCCTTGTAAATTTTTACAGTAACAGTAATGAAAATCTAATTTAAAACTAGTTGACTGACTTTATTATTCTGCCTGTCACTGTCCTTGATTATCATTGACAGCCAGTCCTTTCCTCTTGGCTGCTTGGGTCTTACCAGTGAACAGTGTTTTAGCTCACGTTAGATCGACTTTCTAAGTCCCTGGTAGACCCTAACCACAGATAGTCTGTGTTGATTCTCCTCTGATCACCTATCAGTCTATGCTCGGTGTCTCAAGGGCTTCATTTGGGCCACCTGAATATTTCAGGGATAGGCAGGAGTTCAGCTGAGAAACTGTGCACAGATAGAGCTCCATACAGCCTGTAGTGAAATACATTATGTAAAAGGTCATGGCTTAAAGAACACATTTGAAAACCCATCGTAAGAGTTACACAAGATGTTGTAAGAAGAGTGCATCCCTCTGTGTATGCCATAAGACCTGGGTTACATAGTAAAAATATCAACAGAGCTATGTTTAAAAAAAAATAATAATATGGCTTATAAATAGTATATTGAAAATACTGAAATACACTGAAATTCACAATTTCAAGACTTATTGGATGGGAACAAAATAACAAGCAAAAAGAGCTATTAATTCCATTAACAGAGGCTTACAACAACAGGCTAGGTTGTAGCTCATTTTTAGGTTTTTAGAATATTTGAAATCAACAGGGAGCATATTAAACCCCAGTACCTCTCACAGACAATACTGTCTGGGTAAAAGAACTCCCACAAAAGGGCATAACTTACAGCATCCTTCAGTCAGGTCGACTTACTTCAGCTCTGCAGTTTTCTAACAGATTTAGTTTGTAAAAATAACTTTCCCATCTATATATCTTATATAAAAATGTGTATACCTTTATTTTTGAATCAGTGCTGTGTGCAAAGTGTTCACAGCAGTAGTGAGTGCATGAGAAAGGTATTACAGTGAGAGGAAAGCTCAGGTCTGCTCAATAGAAAGTCAGTTAGTCGGCCGCAGCAGAAAGCACTGTAATGGTTCTGGGCTGCTCCCTGTTCTCTTTGTCTCAGCGGCCTGTGCACAGTTCATCTGATAGCATCTGATCTGATCACTGCACTTACACTGCACATACTGAGGAATCAGATAGCAGCTTCTACCAGAGGGAAAGATGATTGTGCTTATGGCTAAAGACCTTTTTACAGTTTGTAAACACAATTGTAATGCACAAGAAATGCTTAAGTAGACCGTTTTACATAATCAATGGAGGAAATGAGAACAAGGAAAGACAAAAATGAGGTTGCTACTGGGACTGACTGGCAATTGACTATGTTTAAGGAGCAAAATTGATAGGCAAAGCTCTCGATTTACCTGGTCAATCTATGTTCCTACTTTCACCTATGGTTATAAACTTTGGGTCATGACAGAAAGAACAAGATACAATACAATAAAATACAAGTAGTCAAAATATTTTTTTTTTCCACAGGGTGGCTTGACACTGGAGATAGAGTGAAGAGCTCAGCCACAAAGGATAAAAACATATTATAACTTCAAAAACAATAAGCACACTCTAAAAGGAAAATATGGCAGTAAGGGTTAGGGATGCAGCGCTTTATCAGCTTCAATATCAATATGAATACTTCTGTCGATTTTCGATATTAATTGATACCCCTGAAGTAACTACTGAACAGCTTTGCACGAATAAAAGTTCAAACAAAGTCAGATATTCTATGCCTACATCAGCCTGTAAATAGTCTTATTACATCAAATTAAAGGCCTAACCAGGATGTCAGCTGAACTGATATCCGATTCTGCAAAATTTCCTGGATTGGTGCAGGTATCTAATATCTGATAATATCAGTATCAGTGCATCCCTACTGTGGGTGTGGCTTTCCCTCATTGGAATCAAGGTAGTTCAAGCGTATTTATGCACAAAATCAGAATCAAGCTCCAGGTTACTCAACTATATTCCTTCTCCATAACCACATACAAAAACAAAAACAGTTTTAGTCCACATGAGGCACAGGCTAATCTTACTACTACAACTAATACCAGCTTTGTACTACCAGACGTATTACTGTGGTGTTGTAACGGTTAACAAGTGTGAAATATCTGAAATGCCAAACTTAAAGCTCACTGTATACATAATCCGAGATATCAAATATGATTTTTGTGTGATTTCTCTAAGGACATTTCCAGTTAATACAGCCAAAAGAAGCTCTCAGTGCTTGTGGTCGGGCCTGTCAGGAGAATGCTTGTTTTGCCTTCAGAACAGCTTTTACAAGAATCAATACTCTTTTCCACATAAGACTTCTACCCCACTATGCAATTACCTGCTCGTCCATGATCCCAAAATGCATTTTCCCACACAAAGACAAGAGACCTGCAGTTAGTTATCCTGGTAAAGTTTGCAATTTTTTTTTTTTTACTTTTTTGCTCAGTCAGTACAACCGCATGTGTTCCAATTATTTACTGTTCTGGAATAAGTTCATATAATTACTTCCAGATTTGGAAATATTATGAGAATACAAAACTAAACTACAGCATGCCCCACATAGTAAAATGTCTGTTATTGTCATGTCTCCCTTTTGGAGGAGTATGGACGGTGGACCAGGTCATGATCAAAGCGCAGATTTGATCGTTTCATCTGCAGGTGTGGTTACAGACTCTCACTACATCAAGGAATTCTTCTCAAGGAATTCCTGAAAATATTTTGAAGATAGGTTATGCTCTTCATGATAGACGTTTTACAGCAGAAATTTTTTTCTTTTATGTGCATATGTGTATTACATTGGTTTTCTGTTGGCAACATAACACACACACACACACACACACATACATATATACACACACATATATATATATATATACACACATACATATATATATATCCATGGAGATGCTATTAATTGGCCTAGAAGG